TCCTACAATTTAACTAAATTTTTTAAAACCAAATGAACTAAAAGGCTTTATTGACATCACAGTATATTCGAGAATCATTTTAAGAGCATTACAGCTGAAAGAGAATGGCATGTTTACCGTCTTGTCATGCACTATTTTTTCGGAAAAAAAATAGAAAGTAATACAAAGAAATCCTATTAAGTAACTTGGAGCAGCATTTGGAAAAAGTACATCTATTTACAGATTTTTAAAAAATGTGGTTTTACCTACATAGTCACAATGTGCCTCTAAAATGAGACAAGCCCTTAAAGCTCATGGGATTTTGTAAACATCGTGGCATTCTCACCACGTCATTTCTCAGCATTTTCCATGGGGAGGGTTGATCATCGTGCATGGGACTGATCCCATCAAGGTTTCCACACAGCTCGTCAATTCGCCCCCATCCGGACCCCTTCTGCGCTGGACCATTGGTCCATTTGTCCCTCCAGCATCTGTCCCGCTCCATGTGCCTCAAGGAAACCTGTGATTTCCTGCTTTTTCTCTTTCAAGGCCGCTTGCCTTAGACCTCCTCAAACCTCTGACCCTTGCTCTAGACAGCTTGCTCTCACTGTACAAATAATAAATGTTGGAGAGGGTGTGGAGAAAAGGGACCCTCTGACGCTGTTGCTGGGAATGAAAGTTGGTGTGACCACTGTGGAAAACAGTATGGAGGTGCCTCAGAAAACTAAAAATAGAACTACCAACAATCCCACTCCTGGACATCTATCCAAAGGAAACTCTAATCCAAAAACATACATGCACCACTATGTTCATAGCAGCACTATTCACAATAGCCGAGACGTGAAAACAGCTTAATGTCCATCAACAAATGAACGGATAAAGAAGACATGGTACATGTGTACAACGGAATATTACTCAACTACAAAAAAGAATGAAATAATGCCGTTTGCAGCAACATGGATAGACCTAGAGATTATCATACTAAGCAAAGTAAGTCAGAGGAAAAACAAATACCATATGATATCACTTATATGTGGATTCTAAAATATGGCACAAATGAACTTATCTATGAAACAGAAACAGACCCACAGACACAGAGAACAGACCTGTGGTTGCCAAAGGGGAGGGGATTGGGGGAGGGGTGGAGTGGGAGGTTGGGATTAGCAGATGAAACCTATTATATACAGGGTGCATAAGCCACAAGGTCCTGCTGTGGAGCACAGGGAACTATATTCACTATCCTGTGATAAACCATAATGGAAAAGAATATTGAAAAAAGAATGCATATATAGATATAAAACTGAATCACTTTGCTGTACAGCAGAAATTAACAAAACATTGGAAATCAACTACACTTCAATTTTTGAAAATGTAAAAAAGTAGGCAATTTGCTCTTGAAACCGGGAGGGGGGTGTCCCTGTAGGCTCCAGGGCACAGAAGCCTTTTTTTGTCCCCGGTTTCTTGTAGGCAAGACTCCAGTCCATGACCTTCCCTGGGTTCCAAAGGGCGGATTCGAACAGTTGCTAATCAGGGGGGAAGCAGCCAGGAAACCACCTGAGGCGAGATTCGAGGGACCCGAGAAACTCCTCAAGATTCGGAGAGCGACCAGCTGAGATGAGATTACGGGAGTACAAGCCCTGCACACACCCTGATCTTGTCAGCAACCCCTTCCTTGAAGTACTGAGTATTGATGAGTACTGCCTCATCACATCCTCCCGGGTGGGGACACATAGTTTTTCAAGGCAAGTGTCCCCCTGTGCCTGGCAGAGCAATAAAGCTATTCTTTTTCTACTTCACCCGAAGCTCTGTCACCGAGATTCCATTTGGCACCGATGCACAGAGGCTGAGCTTTCGGCATCACTCTCGATTTTCATTCTGTGAGAGTAACTTCTCCTCCTACTGTGTCCAGCTTTAGTGGTTGAGGATCTTCTCCTATTCTGCCTCATTTTCCTCTTAGGAGATGACAGTGTGGCGGCTGCCGGCATTAGAACCGCGCGCAGAACTGGGGGTGCCCAGCTGGTCCTGCGGGAACCACCGCCCCAGGACTGCCTCACCTACTCCTTGTCTGTTTCTCTCTTTCTTTTCTTTAAATTTATTCATTTATTTATTTATTTTTGGCTGCGTTGGGTCTTCGTTGCTGCACACGGGCTTTCCCTAGTTGCAGCGAGCGGGGGCTACTCTTCGTTGTGGTGCGCAGGCTTCTCATTTTCAACACTTTATTATAAAAGGCTGTAACTCAGGGATGGCCAAATGGAAGAGGCGTGTAGGGCAAGGTGTGTGGCAGAGGGCATGGAGCCCCCTGCTCTCGCGGAGCACAACGCTCTTCCTGCATGCTCACCAACCCAGAAGCCTCCCAGCCCCATCCTTTTGGGTTTTTATGGGCATGACTGACTAAATTATTGGCCAGTGGCGATTGAGGTCAATATCCAGCCCCTCCCCGCTCCCCGAGGTCAGAGGGTGAGGGTGGGTCCCAACCCTCTAATCACTTGGTTGGTTCCCCTGGCAACCAGCCCCCACTCCTAGGAGCTTTCCAAAGACCACCTTGTTAACATAAACTCAAGTGTGATTGAAAGAGTCTTGATATGAATATCAAAATGCACCTTTATGACTTTTTCTTTTTACTTTAATAGACAGAATTATTATTTGTAGTATTTACACACATAGTCTTCCATGGTAATGTTAAAGTTACCATTTTCTTCAAATGCCCCTCAGAATAACACACTTTGCCTTCCTAAGTGAATCTTGGACAAGGAAATTCAGTGAAAGTGATCTACTTACGACTGTGTCCCATGTCTCTCTCTCTCTTTTTTTTTTAACATCTTTATTGGAGTATAATTGCTTTACAATGGTGGGTTCGTTTTTGCTGTATAACAAAGTGAATCAGCTATATGTGTACATATATCCCCATATCTCCTCCTTCTTGCGTCTCCTTTATGACTCTTCTGACTTAGCAAATTCAAGGCCTTTAGGAGCTCTGTGCCAGAAGCTAGGGACAAAGACCAAAGGCTTATTTCTTGTTATAAATCACAATATCAAAGAGCTTAACTAACGAAAAGAAGGGACGGAAGGTAAATTTAAGAATATCTACCAGAAAAAGAGGTAAACACTAGGTGAGAGAAGAAAATTAGAGGTCCAATCAGAATGTGAGTAACAGGAATTTCATCAAGAGATAACACAGAATATGGAAGAGCCTTGTTCTTTACAAAGTTCCAAAACTAAGGACATGAGCCTGTAGGATGGAGAGAACCACTGTGTGCACAGTCCAGTGAGCAAGGCCCACATCAAGGTATATTGTTGTGTCAGTTGAGAACACCAAGGATAAAGAGAAGATCCTAAAAGCTTTCAGAGAGAACAAACAAATCACACACAAATGGACAGGAATCAGAATGGCTTTGGACTTTTTAACAGCAGCCCTGGAAGCTGGGAGCTAAACACTATGAATTGAAAAGTTTTGAAGGAAAAGTATCTCCAATCTAGAATTCTGTATATATCCTACCATTAGAGACGAGAGTAGAATAAACACATTTCAGACACACACCCTTCCCAGGAAGCTACTAGTGGACTGACTTCAGCAAAATAAGAGAGTAAACTACAAAGGGGTTCCAGGAAACAGGGAATCAACACAGGAAAAAGGCAACAAGTCACAGGGATGACAGCAGAGGAAAGGTCAAGACAGCAGAGCTGTGCGGTGGGTTGAGAAAGCCATCAGTCTGGAGGGAACACGGGCCAGGGGGCTCTGGGAGAGGGGCCTCCAGGAATTAAACAGCTCTAAGGTGTTTGAGCCTTTGCAAAATGTTATTGATAGGCAAGTGGCAAAGAAAACTAGCCACGTAAAAATCTAGGCACAAGAGAAATACTAGGTAAGTAAGAAGGAAAAAAAATGCGGTACAAGATGGAGGCGTGGTTTTACACCGTCACCCGCAAATAGTCGTGAAAATGTGGGGGTGGGGCGGGCGGGGAGTTGCTTGGAAAGCCTGCTTCCTCCCTTACTTCGGGAAGTCCATAGAAATGTCTATATTTAATACATCAAAAACTAGCAGTCTCTGGTTGAGAAACGTGGAGGTTTCTGCCAGAGGAAAAGCTACAAGGGTTGGAAGTATTTGCCCCTGGAGAGACTGGCACGGGACCGCTGTTGTTCACTACGTCTTCAGTTCTGCGTGAATAAAAAACCATGCACTGGCGTGACTTTGATTTTATTTAAAAAACTTAAAAAAATTTTTTTTTTATACAGCAGGTTCTTACTAGTTATGTATTTTATACATATCAGTGTATACATGTCAATCCCCATCTCCCAATTCATTCCACCACCACCCCCGCCACTTTCCCCCCTTGGTGTCCATATGTTTTTTCTCTACATCTGTGTCTCTATTCCTGCCCTGTAAATAGGTTCACCTGTACCATTTTTCTAGGTTCCACATATATGCGTTAATATACAATATTTGTTTTTCTCTTTCTGACTTACTTCACTCTGTATGACAGTCTCTAGATCCATCCACGTCCCTACAAATGACCCAACCTCGCTCCTGTTTATGGCTGAGTAATATTCCATTGTATATATGTGCCACATCTTCTTTATCCATTCGTCTGTCCATGGGCATTTAGGTTACTTCCATGACCTGGCTATTGTAAATAGTGCTGCAATGTACATTGGCGTGCATGTGTCTTTTTTTTTTTTTTTTTTTTTTTTTTGCGGTACGCGGGCCTCTCACTGCTGCGGCCTCTCCCGTCGCGGAGCACAGGCTCCGGACGCGCAGGTCCAGCGGCCATGGCCCACAGGCCCAGCCGCCCCGCGGCACGCGGGATCCTCCCGGACCGGGGCACGAACCCGCGCCCCCTGCATCGGCAGGCGGACCCCCAACCACTGCGCCACTACGGAAGCCCGCATGTGTCTTTTTGAATTACGTGACTTCGATTATAAAATAAGTCAAGTCAAAAGGAGTTGGCTGTAACAACTTCTCATTTCTACGCCCTGGAGACCCGGCCTAGCGGGTCTCCACGGCAACCGAACGCGTCTCCGAACTCAGCGGCGCCACGTAGGGTAGGGCAAGGGTGACGCACTTCCGCCTCAGGCCCCGCCCCTCCGCGCAAAGGCAAGGCCGCCTGGTTCGCGCATCCCGCGCCCGCGCGTGCGCAGTCTTCGGTAGCCCGGGAGGCTCTGGGTGGCAGTGTACCCGCGCCCTCCGGGCCGCGGCCCCGGGTGGTGAGAGGCCCTAGAGTCGCCACAGCCTGCAGTCCGCATCCCTCTGACGACGTGCGCACACGCTGTCAGACGCGAGCCCATCCCCAGTCAGGCGACGAACAGCCGACCCGAACCCTTCCCGGGAAAGCAGAGCTGGAGGCCCCCCTCTCCCAATCAGGGCGGGACTGGAGCCGTAGCTCACGCCCTCGCCCCCGTTACGTCACGGCGCTGTCTTCCCTCCTGGGAGTTGTGGTTCGGACCCGCCCCGCGGCCACGGTCTTAGCGGGCTGCGGACTACAAGTCCCGGCAGGCCTCGCGGCGGCCCCAGAGCCCCAAGCGCCGGGGGCTTCGGGCGGCCTTGGCCGGTGGGCTCTGGTGCTGCGCGGCGAAGCGGGGCGGCCTGGCTGGTTGGCTGACTCTGAGCAGCCTAGCTCGCTGGCCGGCCGCCGCACACACTGAGGCCGCAGTCGGCCGGCTGACAGTCTCGGCTCTCTTCAGGCCCCCGGAGCCCCCACGCGAAGCAGGCGGGACGCAAACTTCGGGGCAAGTGGAGGGGTAGACAAGGGCACCAGGGCCGGGGACTGGCAGCGGCGGGGGCCCGGGGCGGCTTCCTGAGGAAGGTGACGAATGACAGGGGCGGGGCGGGCCCCAGGGAGTGAGGGGGGAGTCAGTTTCGGGGCGGGCGCCCGGCCCAGCCTGTCCAGCCCCGCCCCCCCCGCAGGCCAGCTGCTCGAGTCCAAGGCTCAGCCCGGGGCCTTGCCGTTCGCCAGCCCTCCGACCCCATCCCCGGCGGCCCCAGACCCCAGGGAGCTCTGCAGGGCAGGAGCCAGGCCCCTGGGGCAGCTCTGGGGTCGTGGTCGTGGGCCCGGGAATGAGCCTGTGGACAGCGGGCGTGTAGATTGTGCGTCTTGGCATGTCCCCGCCGCCGCAGGGTCGGATGGCACAGGGCTTGCGCTGAAGCTCAGCAAGGCTCGAGGCCAGTCCGCAAGTCTCCAGACATCAGGGCTGCAGCCCACCAGTCTCTGGGCGGGCGGGGGGCGTCGGAACAGCTGGACAGGTGAGCTCTTGAGGGGCTCGGATTCTGTCTGATGCTATGTCAGAGGGTCTTTGCTTGTTTTTGAGCGTGTCTCTGGGGTGGTGGGGTGGTAGATAATCCTGCCTCTCCCTCTGAGCTCAGAGCCAATAGAGGCAATAAGCAAAGGTGCCAGACAGGGTCCTGGGGGGCCCAGCGGGGCTGGGGATGAGGCAGCGTGAGAGTGGGAGCCCTGGCAAAGCTGGTCCTTCCTGGCAGGTGCCCTCGTCTTGCCTTCTCACTTTGGCCTGTTGCTGCAGGTGCAACAAGTATCTGAAGGTTGTGCTCCCGTCCAAGATTGGCCCTGTGCAGTGGCTGGGTCGTGACACCGCAGTCTGCAGGGTGCCTGAGGGCTTCCATCTGGGTGGCCAAGATTTGGGTGATGATCTCCCTCTACTTCTTTCGGGCCTTCCCCCAGCTGGTGTGTTTGTACTGGGCCAAGTCGGGTCTCAGGGCTTCACCTGGTCTCTGAGGGGCCAGACTCCCTGGGCACCCAGGATGGCCACCTCTGCCTTAGCCAGAGCTGCCGCATGACCGGAGACTGTGAGTCACCAAGTCTTGCCAGTTGACTGTGCCACACATGGTGTGGATTTAAACAGCATCACCAGCCCAGCTGGAGGTGCCGGGGAAGGAGTGGCAGCCTCTGGTCGTGAGCAGTCAGCACACAACTTTATTCTTCTCAATAAAGGCAGTTTGCCAGCTCGCTAGCTAAGTGGATTTCATCTTTGCGGCTTGTTGAAGTTTATCCGATGAAATTGTCCGAATAGGGCAAACACCTTATTTCTCTACTGTCCCAATGTGTGCTTTAGAAATAGTTCTGCATTCCAAGAGACGCAAGTTTCTTGTGAAAAGAAACTAGTAAACCAACAGAGCAGATCCAGGTGTCCACCTGTTTGGTTGCGATGGTAAATACTAAAAGTGTAAAACTGTCTTTTAAAAACCATGTTTCCCCAGACTTGCTGGCTGGCTACCTGTTTGGTTTGCTGTGTTCTGCGTCGGCAGTCGCTTCTAGTTTCCAACAGGAAATCTTGGTGTCTGAGCAAACCCGTGACCCACGAAAGAGCAGCTAAGCATCCGGGATGCTGACGAGAGGCTGGTGTGTGCTGTAAGGTAAGTGCCGACTGCTCGCACCTGGAGCGCTTCAGGGTCATCGTAAACCCTCATAGTGTCGGCCTCAGGGGGTTCCGGTGCCAGCCAGGGTGGCCTGTGAGCTCTGAGGAAGACGTTAAAGTACGGCGTTTCTGGCAAAGGAAGAAGAAGGAAGAATTCTTTGGGTGAATTTCGCACTGAAACGGGGGTCCCCTTCCTCCCTAGCCCCTCAGGGTTTCTTCGCTGCCCCCCTGCTCCTGACCCCGATCCATTCCTCGCTGGCCACCCCCTCTCCTCACACCCGGGTGGCACCTTCCGAGGTGAGGTAGTGACCCCTGACACTGGGCAGGCCGGGGACCTGAGGTCACACGGAGCATGAGCGGCCATCTGCTGGGCCCTGGTGACAACAGTGACAAAGACCAAGCACGTGGCGGGAGGAAAGTGGCAGAGAGGCCTGGAAAGCCACTTGGCCTGCTTGACAAGGGTCCTGCTATGCTGTGCCCAAGCGCTGAGGCCCGGGAGCCAGTAGGGCGAGCAGGGAGGCGTCTCTGGGGGCCCTGCTCAGGCCCCAGGCCGGGTGACGCCAGGCTGGGCGCGGGTGCTGCGGCTGAGGGCCAGCCCCGGGCCCCCCAGGGCTGGAGCGTGGAGGGGAGGTGGAGAGGCTCCCAGGCTGTGGGTGCCGCAGGGCGGGCTGCTCCTGTCTTCTCACCGTCCTCCTCAAGGGCCACTGGTCTGCGTGGGAGGAAGCCCGAGACTCAGCGAGTCCTTTTGGCTCTGTCCCCTGTGGGCCTGTGGGCTCCCGGGAGGGGCATCCTTGGGGAGCAGGGAGGCTGCTGGCCAGCACTGGAGAGCTGTCTGGCTGTGCTCAAATAAGGGTGTGAAGGCAGCAGGTGCTGGTCAGAGGTGCTTCTCGCGACAGGCTGGACTTCCCTGGTGCCCCGGGGGAGCCACTGCTGGCTGGGACTTGGTTCTGTTTTCCCACAGGCCCTGCTGGGCATCCTCCACCCTCTGTTCGCTCTCTGACCATTCCCCTGAGGGCAGAGCCAGGCACTGGGCACACCTGATATCCTGCTCAGGGGGTCCGCTCCCCGTCCCCTGTCTTGATGGAGATGGTTCTGCAGCCTGTGGCCGGTGGGTCTGTAGGCTGCCAAGAGGGTGGGGGTGACAGCTGGCCCGGCAGGCGGAGGGGCTGGGCTCACAGGCAGAAGGCGTGCCACTGGCTGCAGAAGGGCCACAGTGCCGGCTCGTGGGACTGGCGTCCTTTCCTGCCCCTTTATCGCAGCGTAGGGCCAGTTTCTGGCCCTGCAGATGGCTTGCCCCTTGCTAGCAGGGGTCTCTCGTTGGGCCTGTCTCCCCACACTTGTTTGGGTCTGTGGTTGCCTGGAACGAGGTCGAGTCTGACTGGCTCAACAGGCGCGCCTGGGAAGGGCGAGAGGCAGCTCAGCACTGCCCACGGGCCACGACCAATTCTGGAGGCTCCCGGCGGGGAGGAGGGCTTGTGCCATCTGGCTGAGGTTGGCAGCCTGACCATGACAGGGCCTGTGCCCTAAGCGGCAGCGCCACCACTAAGCCACTGGGCCACTGGCTCAGGCTGTGCTGCTCTGCCTGAGTCAGACACGTGTGGCATCTGCTGACGGAGAGACACCAAGCAGGAGGCCAAGGCCACACGTGAACGGCCCGCCCTGTGAGGTGGCGGCCCACAGGCCCTCAGCCCTCGTCTGGGGCTCGCTGGCAGTGAAGAGCCACGGGCATTCTCGTGTGGCCTTCTTGCTGTGGCAGGAAGGACGGCGAAGCCCTGGTGCCCCATCTTTGCAGGGGCCAGAGACCACAGAGGGGAGGGTGGCTGGAGGGCGGCAGGAGACGGAGGTGGCATGGCCCCGGGGGGGGGGTCAGCCGGCCAGGTGAATGAGCAGCGAGTGGTTTCCCTGAGGAGATTGGCCACCAGGTTGGGAAGGCACGTCCTTTTAGATCGTCCACCTGCGTCTGGAAGCCCTGGCGGTCTTGGGAGGGGTGAGGCAGGAGCGGTCACAGACGCCTGCCCGGGAGGCAGGGGGACTTGCAGAAGCCGAGCTGGCTGAGCAGTTCATGCTGCTGAGAATCTGAGGGTCCTTCACTTGGACCCTAGGCTGGGCATTGACCAGGAGCCTCGCCCTGTGGGCAGTGCCCCTCCCCTGCACACCCTGTGCTGGCGCAGACCTCAAGGTGGGGCTGGACAGACGGTGGCCGTCAGATGACCTGTGGGCTCAGGCCTGGGATTCTGAGTTTTGGGCTGGGGGGGCGGGGTCCAGGTGGAGGGGTGACGTGTGGTTTTCTTGTTGCTGGCTAAGCTCTGGGCTGGCCTGGTGGCCTGTGGCTTCACTGGGCCACTGGGCGCTAACAGGAAACAGCTGCACCCCAGCCAGCCTCAAGGTCTCCCTCTGGCATCCCAGGAGCTCTGCAGTGGGACTGCTGGGGGCCCCAGGCTAGCGTCTCCCCAGCCTCGGGGTCCCGATGCTACCCGAGAGCCCGCTCCACTGCAGAGGCTCAGTCTCCAGAGATGGAGCGGCGACCGCCCCCTCCAGTCCTGGAGCCCTGAGCCCTCTCCCGCATCAGGTCCTGCTGATTTAACATCTCAGGCGTTGTCCACATCTATTCATGTCGTAAAAAAATTTATTGAGGAATCACATATGCAGGGAGGCCCAGGTCATAAGTGATCCAAGTTAGCAAAGTGAACACGTGTATAATTGGCACCCAGATCAGGAAGTAGCATGTTCCCCTGGGCCCAAGTCCCCCGTGACCGCCTCCGCTGCTGTCTCCCTGACTCTGGTGCCCTGGATTTGTCTGTCCCATTTGTGAACTTTCTATTGGTGGAATCAGGCTCGTGGCTTCTTTCCTTGAATACGCGTCTGTGAGCTTTGCTGTGTGTAGTGCAGTGGTTTGTGCTTTCTTGGAGGTAACTCACGTGTCACGACCCAGTTCACCCTTGAGCACTCGGGGCGGGCGCTGCTGTGAACAACGCCACCTCCGTCAGGGCCTGCCTGGGGTGGCCGGCCGACGCTTCTCGGAGAAGGACCACGCAGCACTGCCCACTGGGCTGTGGGTGGCAGCAGACCCTGTGTGTGTTAGCTGCTGGGGGCACCTGTTCCAGCGTTTTCCTGTTTTCTCTTGGGTTGTCTGCTTTGTGCATGAGATCTGCAGGCCCTCCTTCCACACTCCAGGTACAGGGCCTTTGTGGCTGGCGTACGTGTTGCTGCCTCTCCAGGCTTAAGTGCCGTCCAGCTTCTCAGTTGGCTACACAAAGAAAGTCTGCTTTCTTCGGGAAGTTTTATTGTCTTACCTTTCATGTTGATGTGTGCAATCCTGGCGGCCCCCTGTACGCCAGCCACCCAGAACCGAATCTGCTAGTGCGGGCAGACCCTCCTCTCAGCCGGGTCTTGTCCCCTGGTTCCCTGGGGACCTGCAGTCCTGTCACCAGGATGTCCCCCACACTTCTGCTCCAGCTCCCCACAGCGGCTGGCAGGCCCTTTTCAAAGAGGTGTCCCACCCTCCCTCCAGGACGGGCCCACCTCTGCTTTTGCAGCTGGTCTCCCGTACTGCTGGCGGGTGGCCACGTGGGCCCCCTTTGGTCTCTACTGCACAGGCCCCCCTCCAGCCCCAGGGCATTCCCCGTGTTCCACCCCACCGCCGTTCCCATCCATCTCTCCCTGGAAGCCCTCTCAGAACTGGTGCAAGCCCGTGTGGCCTTCTCGATGTGGCCTGAGGGTGCCCTCTGCCCGCAGGTCTCCCACCATGGAGCCAGACCCCCAGGCGGGCGTGCAGGTGGGCATGCGCGTGGTACGCGGCGTGGACTGGAAGTGGGGCCAGCAGGACGGCGGCGAGGGCGGCGTGGGCACGGTGGTGGAGCTCGGCCGCCACGGCAGCCCTTCGACCCCCGACCGCACGGTGGTCGTGCAGTGGGACCACGGCACGCGCACCAACTACCGCGCGGGCTACCAGGGCGCGCATGACCTGCTGCTCTACGACAACGCCCAGATCGGTGCGCGGGCCCCGGGGGCGGGGCCGGGCAGAGGGGCGGGGCCTCGCGGCGCACCCTGACGCTGCCCGCCCGCAGGCGTCCGCCACCCCAACATTATCTGCGACTGCTGCAAGAAGCACGGGCTGCGGGGCATGCGCTGGAAGTGCCGCGTCTGCTTCGACTACGATCTCTGCACGCAGTGCTACATGCACAACAAGCACGACGTGGCCCACGCCTTCGAGCGCTACGAGACGGCCCACTCGCGCCCGTGAGTTCCCCTGCCGACCCCGGTGTGGGCGCGGACTCTGACATCCGAGCAGCCTTGGTCCCCGAGGACTGGAGCTGCCTCCCGCTGGCCACTCCCCAGGGTACAGGTCGAGTCCTTCCTGAGCCATTTCCTGGAGGAGTGGCCAGGGTCGTGGTCATGCCGGGGGGCCTGGGCATTGACACCAGTCCCTACCCCCTGCGGAAGGCAACCGTGTCCACCGGGCAGGTCTGCGCAGATGGGTGCTGTGAATGGGGCCTTCTCCGGTGTCCCGGGCCCTTCCTAGAGCCAGGCTCCCCAGTGGTCCCCCAGTGCCGCCGTGGCCGGGGCGCTGAGGGTGGCCTGCCTGGAGTGTGCTGCCGGCGTCCGCACCTGTGGAGGTGCTGTTGGCCTGGCTGGCAGGCTCCCTTGCTGTGGTCGGGGTGGGGGGACCAGGCCGGGGAGGAGTCCACTGGGCTGCGTGGGTGCCCAGAGGTGCACCCCTGTTCCCTGCACTGTTGCCTTCGCCTCCTTGACACCCCCCACACACGGAGGGGAGGGGTGTGCTCCACGTCCCAGCCGCCCCTGGCCAGTGTGGGAACCAGGATCAGCTGTCCGGGCGCCTCAGGCCAAGCTGGCCCTGCTCACTCCTCTGCTTCCCATGTGCTGAGCTTCTCTGGGCCAGGCCGTGCGCTGAGCTCTGGGGTCAGCTCTAACGGGAGGTAGCAGGTCTGGCGTGAGCGCACGTAGAGGGGGTGTGGTGAGGGTGGGCCTGGGGCGCCCTTCTCGCCTGACATCGTGAAAGGTCCCCCAGGGACTTCCCTGGCAGTCCGGTGGTTAGGACTCTGCATTCTCACTGCCGAGGGTGCGGATTCAATCCCTGGTCGGGGAATTAAGATCCCACAAGCTGCACGGCGTGGCCAAATTGAAAAAAAAAAAAGAAAGGTCTCCTGGAGGGACCTGGGCCGCAGCCCCACTCTAGGCCCAGGGTGTGGAGGGCATTGACCTGTGGGACCAGTTGCTCCGGGGGGAGGGAGAGCTGGGCCTGGGAGCTGGCGGCGCCCCATCCTTTAGATTCCAGGGCTGGGAGTGGAGGAGCAAGGCTGGCAGAGCCGGTCGCCTGCTCTGTTGCACGGTTGCTCCCATGGCCTGGGACCCACTCTCTCTCTCGTAGGGTCACGCTGAGTCCCCGCCAGGGCCTCCCAAGGATCCCGTTAAGGGGCATCTTCCAGGGAGCGAAGGTGGTTCGGGGTCCCGACTGGGAGTGGGGTTCGCAGGATGGTGAGTGGGGTCCAGGGTGGGAAGGTGGGGGCTGGGCTGCCACTGGCCATGGCTCATCCCCGTGGCGCAGGCTTAGTCTGCTGGTGGGGCCACTGTCTCCCAGGAGGGGAAGGGAAGCCAGGCCGAGTGGTGGACATCCGTGGCTGGGATGTGGAGACGGGCCGGAGTGTGGCCAGCGTGACATGGGCCGACGGCACCACCAACGTGTACCGCGTGGGCCACAAGGGCAAGGTGGACCTCAAGTGTGTGGGCGAGGCAGCTGGCGGCTTCTACTACAGAGAGCATCTCCCGAGGCTCGGTATGGGCGGGCCCCACTGACACCCACCCAGTTGCTCTCTGTCCTGGCTGAGCCTCAGCGGCAGCCCTGGGCCAGGGGTGGCCTGTGAAGTCCCCGAGGGGAGGGGAGGGGTGGGGGCGGAGGGACCCTGTGAGCCGCCTCGTTCCCAGGCAAGCCTGCAGAGCTGCGGCGCAGGGTGAGTGCTGACGGCCAGCCCTTCCAGCACGGGGACAAGGGCAAGTGTCTGCTGGATGCAGACGTCCTGAGGGACATGCAGGAGGGCCACGGCGGATGGAACCCCCGGGTGGCCAAGGTGAGCCGCCCCACCTGCCAAATCCCCGTGCCCCCCCCCACATCCTCTGGACCCCCGCCCTCGTGCTCCACCTGGCCACAGCCTCCGTGACCCGCCGCAGTGTATCGGACAGATGGGCACCGTACACCGCATCACGGACCGTGGGGACGTGCGTGTGCAGTTCAGCCACAAGACCCGCTGGACCTTCCACCCTGGGGCTCTCACCAAGGTGCATGGGGGGCCGGGCTGAGCCCCTCTGCTCACTTCCGTACTCCCTTCAACGTGCTGGCTTGGCCCTGGGAGTGCCTCCCTCGGGCCCTGAAGGAAGAGGGGAGGGCATGGTGGGGTCCAGAGGGGACTAGGTCCAAGGAGAGGGGACCCTGGTGTGAGGCACGGGGGTGGGGGCCGCGGGGAGCTGTTGGAAGCCGGGGCAGCAGGTCAGGCGCGAACATCTGTTCTGAGGGCCAGAGGGGCCTCTGCAGCCTCACAGGCAGGAGGTGGCGGGTTGGGGTACTTTCTTAGGAGGGCGGGGTGGGCGTGGTGAGAGCTGTCTGGGAAGCAGTATCCCTTGGATGAGGGATGGAGGGGGTGGGGGGCAGCGGCGTGTCCAGTGATGGCACCTGGGCGGGGGCAGCGCCAGCACTCGGCTCTGGGACTGCTGGGGCACATCTGCCTTCAAGGATGGGGGATGGTGGGGTCATAGGACAGGTGGTCTGTAGAGTGATCTCTGTACCCACGAGGGCACGGGTGATGAGTGAGTTGCTAGGAAAGGTTTGGGGGTGGGGGAGATGCAGCCCTGACCCCCTCTGTGCTGTTCCGGCCTGGCTCCCGGTCATCCTGTGGGCCCCCCTCCCCCGAGCCAGGCTAGTCTGGTCTTGGCTGTGCTGCCTGCTCCCTGTCAGTGTGCAGGGACAGGCCCACCCTGGCCTGCACCCCGCCCCCCACGCTGGCTTCTGTCCCGTCTAGATGCTGATGTCCGCTGCCTCTCTGGCTGTCACCCGCATGGCTCTGAGGCTAGGCCAGCAAGGGCTGCCCTGGTGACCTGTTGCCCTTATCGGGCCAGACCCTCCGGCTGTGCTTTCGGGCAGGGGCTGGGGTCCTGTCCAGGCCTGTCCTGTGGAGCTGGGTGGGGGTGCTCTCCTGCTCTTCGACCCCAGGCAGCCACATCTGCCGGGGGCCCCTCACATGCTTCTCTGTCACTCAGCACAACTCCTGCTCGGTGGGTGACGTTGTGCGGGTCATTGACGACCTCGACATGGTGAAGCGGCTGCAGGCCGGGCATGGCGAGTGGACAGATGACATGGCCCCCGTGAGTCCTTCAGCCCTGCCTCCCCACCCCCAGCTCCCTCGCCCCTGGGAGGCCCACCTGAGACCCCGCCCTCTCCCCACCCAGGCTCTGGGCCACATCGGGAGAGTACTGAAGGTTTTCGGAGATGGGAACTTGGGTGTGCTGGTCAGCGGTAAGCTGTGGACCTTCAGCCCCTCCTGCCTGGTGGCCTACCGGCCTGAGGAGGACGCCAACCTGGACGTGGCCAAGCGCGCCCGGGAGAACAAAAGTGAGGGCATCCAGCGCGGGCGGCTGGTGGGGGGCGGGGCCGCCCCTGGCCACCACCGAACCTCAGCCCTGCCCTCCCCAGGCTCCCTGAGTGTTGTCCTGGACAAGCTTCGAGCCCAGAAGAGTGACCTGGAGCACCCAGGGAGGCTGGTGGTGGAGGTGGCCCTGGGCAACGTGGCCCGGGCTCTGGACCTACTGCGGCGGCACCCGGAGCAGGCAAGTTCCTGAGACCAGCCCCCGCCGCCCCCACCCCCGCCCCGGCCCCACCAGCCCCAGTGGGAGGGGCGGGGCCGGGGGCTAACTCTCTGCCCTCCCGGCAGGTGGACACCAAGAACCATGGCAGGACCGCCCTGCAGGTGGCTGCCTACCTAGGCCAGGTGGAGCTGGTGCGGCTGCTGCTGCAGGCTCGGGCGGGCGTGGACCTGCCGGACGACGAGGGCAGCACGGCGCTGCACTACGCGGCGCTGGGGTGAGGCCTGGCCGGGGCGCGGGGGGCCGGGCCTACAGGTCCAGCCAGTGGGCACAGCGCCCCTCCTGCTTCCTCTCCCGCCAGGAACCAGCCCGAGGCCGCCCGGGTGCTCCTGAGCTGGGGTTGCGGGGCCAACACTCTTAACGGCACCCGGAGCTCGGCGCTGCACGTGGCCGTGCAGAGGGGCTTCCTGGAGGTGGTGAGGGTCCTCTGTGAGTGCGGCTGTGACGTCAACCTGCCCGTGAGTGCTGGGTCCCCTGGCCCTATCCCTGGGGTCAAGGAGGCAGTGGCCAAGATCTTCTTGCCAAGTGATCACTGGCCCACCACCGGCAGGACGCCCATGCTGACACGCCCCTGCACTGTGCCATCTCGGCGGGCACTGGCGCCAGCGGCATCGTGGAGGTCCTCACCGAGGTGCCGGGCATCGACGTCACTGCCACGAACAGCCAAGGCTTCACCCTGCTGCACCATGCGTCCCTCAAAGGCCACACACTGTGAGTTTGGGGTGGACGCATAGCCAGCAGCCAGGTCCTGCGGTGCTGCCGGGCCACTCTGGGGTCGCCCCTGACCCCAGACGCGTCTCCCTGCTCCCGCAGAGCCGTCAGAAGGATTCTGGTGCGGGCCCGGCAGCTGGTGGACGCCAAGAAGGAGGATGGGTTCACAGCGCTGCACCTGGCCGCCCTGAACGACCACAGGGAGGTGGCCCAGGTTCTCATCCGAGAGGTGTGGACGCAGGGTCCTGGGCGGGCCCGGGGACCGGGGTGTCAGGGCCCACCAGGGTCCCTGGACTGAGCCTGTACCCCCCCCACCCCCCAGGGCCATTGTGACGTGAATGTTCGCAACCGTAAGCTCCAGTCCCCGCTGCACCTGGCTGTGCAGCAGGCCCACATGGGGCTGGTGCCGCTGCTGGTGGACGCTGGCTGCAGCGTCAATGCCGAGGACGAGGAGGGGGACACAGCTCTGCATGTGGCACTGCAGCGTCACCAGCTGCTGCCCCTGGCGACTGATGGGGCCGGGGGGGACCCAGGGGCCTTGCAGCTGCTGTCAAGGGTGAGGAAGCGTGACTCTGGGTGCTTGAGAGGTGGGCCGTGGCACCTGGCTGCAGGCCCCTGGGTCCTCTGCCCACCTCCACCTTCGGGGACAGCCCTGACCAGGCCCTCTCAGGGTGGGACAGCCCGGGCCGCAGTGGTTTGCAGGCGGTGTCTCCTGCGACCCCAGTCACCGCCGTGTGGCCAGTGTTCCTGAGATTCTGTGCTTCAGACCAGCCTGGGAAAGGGGGTGGGGTGCCGTATGGGCGGGGGTCGTGTGTCAGGACCCGGGCCCCTCTGCCGGCAGGGGCCTTTACCCGCCTGCCTCCGGCGGCTCCGGGGGTCTCGGGCGGGGCCCAGGCCTCTGAAGCCCGGTGCCAGCCCGGCTCCCTCCAGGCCAGTGTTCCCAGGCGCCCACCCTCACGTCGTCTGTCCTGCCACCCAGCTACAGGCCTCGGGCCTTCCGGGCAGCACGGAGCTGACGGCGGGCGCGGCGGTCGCCTGCTTCTTGGCGCTGGAGGGCGCCTACCTGAGCTACGCCAACCACCGCGGCCGGAGCCCGCTGGACCTGGCTGAGGGCCGCCTGCTCAAAGCCCTGCAGGGCTGTGCCCAGCGCTTCCGGTGAGCAGGCGGGGCCAGGGGCCGGGGGCGGGCCGCCCGCAGCCCTGGGCCCTTTCAAGCCCCTTCTGCCCACGCAGGGAGCGGCAGGCTGGCGGCGGCGGGGGCGCGGCCCAGGGCCCAAGGCTGGCGCTCAGTGCCCCCAACACTGTTACCAACCTGCACGTCACTGCGCCGCCCGGGCCCGAGGCCGCGGAGTGCCTGGTGTGTTCGGAGCTGGCGCTGCTGCTGCTGTTCTCGCCTTGCCAGCACCGCACGGTGTGTGAGGGTGAGTGCGGGGGGCGGGGGGGGGGGGGGGGGGCGGCGACCGGGCTGGGGGGCCTCGCTCAGCCGTGCGCTCCCCCGCAGAGTGCGCCCGCAGGATGAAGAAGTGCATCAGGTGCCAGGCGGTCATCGTCAAGAAGCTGCGCCCAGGTGGGGCTCGGCGCCCCCCCCCCCCCCCCCCCCCCGTGTGGGCCGCTGCACGTCGCCCCGCGGTTCACGGCTCCGTCCCCTGTCGTGGCCCACGCTCCTACCCGCGGTTCTCCCCCAAGCCCCGGGCCTCCACAGCCCCTGCCTCTGACCGGGACCCCTTCCCGCAGACGGCACGGAGGTGGTCAGCGCCGCCCCCGCCCCCAGCCCACCGCGGCAGCTGGTGGAGGAGCTGCAGAGCCGCTACCGGCAGATGGAGGAGCGCATCACCTGCCCTATCTGCATCGACAGCCACATCCGCCTCGTGTTCCAGTGCGGTCACGGCGCCTGCGCGCCCTGCGGCGCTGCGCTCAGCGCCTGCCCCATCTGCCGCCAGCCCATCCGCGACCGCATCCAGATCTTCGTGTAGCCCGCGCCCCCTGCCTCGTCCGGGGCCACGCCCCGCGACCGCCTTCGCAAGCCCCTACTCTGTATTTTATAAAAAGATTAATGGACTTTGCGCCTGGTTGCCTGCCTGGGGCAGGGCCGTGGGTCCCCCACCCCGGACCATCCCGACCTGGCCTCTTCCGCCGTTGGCCCGGCGCTGGGCTTTGCGCTTCGGCCAGAGGCCCCGCCTGGCCCCTCCCGACCTGCGTGTCCTGCTCTTCTTCCCAGGACTCACGGGTCCAGAGTCCTGCCAGGATCCCGGTCTCTGGGCCAGAAAGGATGGGGCCCGGGCTCGCGGTGTCGTCCAAGAACACTGGTTGGACCGAAACCCCAGCAGCGCCTCCTCCCTGCGCCTGGGGCGGGCTGTGGAGACGGCAGACTTTGGCCAAAGCAGAACCCGGCCTCGTGGCGGGCTGTGCAGTCCTGGCTAAGCGGGGAGTTGGGCGAGGCCTCCGATTCGAGCCAGAAGCCCCGGCAGGGTTTCAGGACCACTGAGTGTGGGAGGTGGAACGCGGACCTGGGGAGTAGGGCAGAGCACAGGACAGAGACGGTCGGTGTGTCGGCGCAAGCGTTTAGCCATGGGGGAGGCGGGCACTGCCCTGGTCTGGGCCCTGCGGCCGGGCGCTTTCCAAGAACCACCGAAGTGCTCCCCCGGAGCCTCAAGGCTGCCAGCCAGCCACTTGGCGCTGACCCCGCTGGCCCGGCGCGCCACTGTCACTCTGGGCTCAAGGCCTGGGTGGAGAACAGGGAGGGCCAGACCCCCTCCCCTCCCCGCCCCCGCGCCTCCTCTGGCTCGGCCCAGCCCCCACCCCATCTCCCCTCCCCCCGGCCGCTCCGCCCCGGCGGGAGGCCCGTCCCACCCAGGATCCCGGTTCCCCAAGCCCAGAGGCGCCCTCGCCTACATCCCGCCTGGCTTAGCTCCTCAGTCAGGCATGACCTGAAAGTCGTCCCGTCGAGTCTCCCGCCCCCATGACACCCGGTGCCCCAGCCCCAACCCAGGACCGTTCAGACTTCGGCCCTGCGCGCGCTCGGCAGGCAGCGCCTGGTGGGGATTCCTGCGGCGCCCCCCCCCCCCGCGCTCCCCCGCCCCTCGTGCGCTGTCCCTGTCGCCCTCCATGGGTCCTTCCGCTGGCCCCTGCAGGTCCTCCTCCCTCCTGGCACCCCAAGCCTTGCTCCGCAGGCGCCTCCTTCTCCCTCTTCCTCAGCCCGGTACTCACTTGCCACGTCCCCTCCCGTCGCATCCCTCCCCTCTCGTGGGGTCCCTGTCAGCCAGCGCCTGCAGGGGACTTGTCCCGAGCTGGCCGGGATGCAGGTCCCACTGCCGGGTCTCATCCGGTGCCCAGGGGCACTCCGTTTGGGAGAGAAGCTGCCAGGTCAGTCCACTCTCAGCGAGTCTGGGGACCCGGCTGACCACTCCTGCCTAAGCCCAAGCCCCCGGTGTCCGTCCCTTCCCTGGCGTCCAGGGCCCTCCTCGCAACACCACCCCCACCCCCGCCAAGTGACCCCGCCCAGTTGGCCCTGCCCAGGCCACCGCCACCGACCCACAGGCCCGGGTCCCCGCACCCCAGGCTGGAGGTGTCGGGGGTGCTCCCGACAGCAGGCGGCCAGCTGGTTCCCTTCGGGGCAGCCGCGCGCCCTCCCCCTCAGGGCTGTAACCCGAGCCGCCGCCGCGCTGCCCCGCCGCCTGAGCCCCGACAGCGATTCCGCAGGCGCCATGGGCCGCGGGGCCTGCGTCCCCTCAGCGGCGTCGGGGGCCCACGACCGGGCCCGCCTTCTCGGAGCCGTGCTGGGCGCGCTGTGCCTCCTCCCCACGCTCGTGCTGCTGGCCCGGCCGGGGGCCCTGGGGAACCGGCCCGTGGCGAGCGCAGCGCAGGTGAGAGGGCGCGGGAGCGGGCGAGTCGGCCCCGGCTGACCGTCCGGGCCTGAGTCGGCGAGTCCGCGTCCGTTGAAGGGGGGGTGGGGGGGCAGCATCTGCCGGCAGCTCCGCCCACTCCGACCTGGCTTGTTTTTAGCAACGTTTTTCTTTCTGGCTGTTAAGTAGCCCTGGCTCGGGGTGGAAAACCAGAAAATGCCGAAAGACAAAGGAGTCCCTCCCTGGAGAGAGCGCCAGCGCTCCCTGGAGCGCGCGCCCTCCCATCCTTCGAGGTCCATTTCCTCGCGGCTTGGGGACAGTCCCTGCTGCCTCCCCACGGGGCACTTGCTTCCCTCGAAGGGAGACGCTGTGCCCCCGACCGCGGGTGTGCTCACCACCCCAAGCCTTGGCCCGCCGCACCCCCCAGCGCCCCGCAGACGCCGCTACACGCTGACCCCGACCCGGCTGCACTGGGACCACTTCAACCTCACATACAGGTGCGACCCTGGCCCTGGGGGCGGGGGCGGTGCTGCCTGGCTGCCACCCCTGACCATGACTCCCACCCCAGGATCCTCTCTTTCCCGAGGAACCTGCTCAGCCCCAGAGAGACCCGGCGGGGCCTGGCCGCCGCCTTCCGCATGTGGAGTGACGTGTCCCCCTTCAGCTTCCGCGAGGTGGCCCCTGAGCAGCCCAGCGACCTCCGCATAGGTGGGCGCCGTGCCCCCAGTCCCCGCCCCGCCCCAAGGCCCCCTTTCAGCCCCGTGCTCCTGCAGGCTTCTACCCGGTCAACCACACGGACTGCCTGGTCTCCCCGACGCACCACTGCTTCGACGGCCCCACGGGCGAGCTGGCCCACGCTTTCTTCCCCCCGCACGGCGGCATCCACTTTGACGACAGCGAGTATTGGGTCCTGGGCCCCACACGCTACAGCTGGAAGAAAGGTGACGCCGGCCTGGCCTCCCGTGGGGCCCTCGCACCACGGGCGGGCACAGCGGGAGGGCTTTGGGGGTGTCATTGCTGGGATTTGGGATCAGGGAGGCGGGCAGGGGCAGGCTGGGAGGAGGTCGTAAGCCTGGGTTCCGGGAGCCCTGAAGCCCCCTCCCCCCACACCGCTGGAGCCCGAGCTGGAGCTGCATTCCTGGGGGCCAGCTCACCACCTCGCCAGCCTGGAACACGCTTATCTTCCCACGGCTGCCCGAGGGAGGCTCCCGGCACTGCAGCAGCTGTTCGGGCCTCGGGGCCAAGGCCGGCGGGCGGGCGGGGCGGGGGGGGGGGGGGGGGGGGCGGCGGAGGGCTGGGCCGGGTCCCGGGCGCTGACCGGCGGGGCCCGCAGGCGTGTGGCTCACCGACCTGGTGCACGTGGCGGCCCACGAGATCGGCCACGCGCTGGGCCTGATGCACTCGCAGCACGGCCGGGCGCTCATGCACCTCAACGCCACGCTGCGTGGCTGGAAGGCGCTGTCGCAGGACGAGCTGTGGGGGTTGCACCGGCTCTACGGTGAGTGCGGGACCGGGCCGGGCGGGGCCAGGGGCCGGGGCGGGCGGGCCCTGAGTCCAGGCTGCCCCCCTGCAGGCTGCCTGGACCGGCTGTTCGTGTGCGCGTCCTGGGCGCGGAGGGGTTTCTGCGACGCCCGCCAGAGGCTCATGAAGAGGCTGTGTCCCAGCAGCTGCGACTTCTGCTACGGTGAGCTTGGGTGTCAGGCACCGGCCTGCCTCTGGCCAGGGCGCCAGGTACTGATGTGGCCTCCGCCCCCCCCCACCCTGTATGAGCAGAGTTCCCCTTCCCCACGGTGGCTGCCACCGCACCGCCCCCCAGGACCAAAACCCGGCTGGTGCCCGAGGGCAGGAATGTGACCTTCCGCTGCGGCCAGAAGATCCTCCACAAGAAAGGCAAAGTGTAGTGAGTGACCCTGCCTGGGCGCCCGAGGGTGGGCGGGGGACTCGGGACCCTGCCCAGCCCTCCGCCCTCCCCGCAGCTGGTACAAGGACCAGGAGCCCCTGGAGTTCTCCTACCCCGGCTACCTGGCGCTGGGCGACGCGCACCTGAGCATCATCGCCAACGCCATCAACGAGGGCACCTACACGTGCGTGGTGCGCCGGCGGCAGCACGTGCTCAGCACCTACTCCTGGCGCGTCCGCCTGCGGAGCTGAAGGCCGCCCGCAGGGCTGAGGATGCCGATAAAGCAGTTTCTCGCTCACGTCTCCTGGCCCTTTCTTGGGAGGGTGGGCGGCCAGTCTTGGCCCACGGGGTGCGGAGCCTGCAGCCGGTTCCTTGCAGGGAGGATGCCGTCCACAGAGACAGGCCGAGACGGGCTTCTCCAGGCCAGGCCTGGAACAGTGGGTAACGCGAGGCCCAGGCGCCAGCAGCATCACCAGGGCCAGCGCGCTGAGCCAGTGGGGCCGGGGGTCTCGCGTGGGCTCAGGGCTGGGAAGCGGGTGGGCCCTGTGGCTGCAAGGCCTCCCTGAAGGGAGTAGGGTGAGCGCGGGCAGCGTGTGTGTGTCAGGGAGGCTGGCGGTGCCCGCAGGAGGAACTAGCTCGGTGCAGCTGGGGGCCCCGGGCAGTGACAAGTCCCCTTCTGCCCAAGCGACACTGTGTCCAGCCAGACCAGTAGCTGGAGGACTCGCGGGCTGCAAAGAGCTGAGCCCACGGAGACTGCCTTTCCTCCCTCCCTCCCTGAGTGTAGGGGCTGGGGCTCCCCCCGCACCCCGGGGAGGCCCAGGACCCAGCACAGGACCAGCCCCTTAAAGAAGGAAATGCCAGACCTTTTCTCCAAGAATATTTTACTACATCTTAAAACACGTAACCACCTTGTACAAAAACCCGCTGTGGCGGCGAGCTCGCACGCCTGGCTCTGGGGCCCTGGGTGAAAGGCAGGAAGGTGCTGGAGCAGCAGCCTGAAGATTAAGAAGTACCAAACCCCCCGCAGCTCTGTTCCCAGTCGTGGCCAGCACCCGACTGGGGTGGCCGCCGGTGGTCACCGTGGCTGAGTGTGTGTGTGTGGGTGTACGGATGCCCGCCCTCTCCTGGCAGGGCAAGTCCGATACATCTGAAAAAACACAGCCTTTTGTCCCACGGCAAGGAAAACGTGATTTAATTCTACAAATTTACAAACCAAGATAAAGTGAAAACATGGAAAACCCCACGAGGCCAGCAGCCAGTCCTAGGCTTGAGGTCGCGTCCACGGCAGCCCCGTGGCAGTGGCGGCACCTGATCAGGGCAGGACGGGGGTCTGGACCCAGACGTCGCCTCCAGTGTCTGCCGCTGTCCCAGCTGGGCCTCAGCGGTTGGCGCTCCCCAAGGTGGGTCCGGGGTCAGCTCTGAGCCTCAGAACTTGAGGCTGAAGCCTGGGCCCGCGGCCGAGGCCCCCTGGTTCGTGGTTGTGAGGTGGAAGCCCGTCTCCTTCAGGTCGTCGTCACCCTGTGGATACAGCGGCTTCGTGGGGCCCCAGCCGGGCCAACCCCGCCTTGGCGACCCCGCTCCTCCCACCAGCCCGCCCCTCACCAGCTGGCTGTAGCCCAGGCCTCCCTCTGGGGGCCGGGGGCTGGTGCCCCGCTTCACCCTCTGCTGTTCGCTCTTGGCGGGCCATGTGGGGAACATGGAGGGGTCGATGGGGAGGGGGGTCTCGCGGAAATACTCGTGCTTGAGGCCATCCTCTGCGCTGACCCTCCGTCCAGGGAAGTAGGTCAGAAACCTGGGAGAACAAGGCACTTAGCAGGGGCGGGGCTGGGCGGGGAGGAGGCGGGCTGAGGGTGGGGTGCAGGGAGGGACGCACTTGTTCATGAGGTCGAAGCCCTGGTCTGAGAGCAGAGCCCCGAAGCGCTTGCGGAGGTTGTTATACGGGTACTCGGTGAAGGTCATCTTCTTGACTGCGGGGAGGTCATTGTAGCCGGGCCAGATTTTCTCACTGGGGGTCCCCAGGTCCTGAAACAGGGCGGCGTCTCAAATAGCCGGGCCCTGCAGGGAAGGGTCACCTGGCCCGGGCGCCTGCACACGTCCCCAGGGGCACCCACCTTGAACACTTTGTTGATCTGATCGATTTCCGACTTCCCAGGGAACAGCGGCTTCTGAGTCAGCAGCTCCCCAAAGATGCAGCCCACCGACCACATGTCCACGGCCGTGGAGTACTCCTGGGGGTCAGGAAGCACTCAGGGGGCTGGCGGGTCAGGGCGCCCAGGGCACGCTCCTGCACACCCACACTCACCTTGGCGCCGAGCAGCAGCTCGGGGGCACGGTACCACAAGGTCACGACCACCGGGGTGTAGGCCTTCAGAGGGGACCCATACTCCCGCGCCAGCCCGAAGTCCCCCACCTGTGAGGACAGAGGGCGGGCTGTGGGCGGCTCCATGCCTGGGAGCGGGCCGCTCCCCGAGCCGCCCGCAGGGCTCACCTTGAGGATGCCGGCATGGCTCAGCAGCAGGTTGGACGTCTTGAGGTCTCGGTGCAGGATCCAGTTGTCGTGCAGGTGCTTCACTCCACGCAGCAGCTGGATCATTAGGGTCTTCACCTCTCCTGGATGGCGACAGGTCAGCACGCCGCTGGTGCCCCGGGTCTTCGGCTGCCTCAGCAGCCACCAAGCTTCCCGGCACCCGGGCGCTCACACACACGCAGCGCGACAGGGTCAGAGTCCAGGTCAGCACTCCCGCCCCGGGCGACCTGAGCGCAGCACGTCCCTCAGGGGAACCTGGGCGTAGGGCCCTACCCGGCAGGAAGGGCTGCTTCATGGTCTCCATGAGGCTCTTGAGGTCGTGCTCCACGTAGTTCATCACGATGTAGATCTTGTCCATGTTGCTGCCCACGACGATTTCCTAGGAAACGACAGCAGGTCCCATGGCCCGGGGATCCCAGGCTGGCCCTGCCGCCGCCGGCTCTCCCAAGAGACCTGAAATCCCGGGGCCCAGACGCTGGGTGACAACAGGGATCTCCTAAGAGCGACGGCCACCGGGGTGTAGCACTCGGGGGCCCCGCGGGGCAGAGGCGCGTGGCCGGCGGCCTCACCCTGACGGTGACGATGTTGGGATGCTGCGCCTTGAGGATGGTGTTGATCTCCCTCAGCGATGTGATCGGGAAGCCTTCCTTCTCTTTCTCCATCTTTAGCCGCTTCAGAGCCACGATTTCATCTGAAAAGAAAGCAACGGGAAGACTCAACGTTGAGCAAACGTTCTTCCACCCACACATTCTTCCTGTTTCATCGCTGTTCCCCCACGATCACGGGACATGGCCAACCGGCCTCCCCCAGGTGCTCAGAGCCTCGACTGCTTCTCTGAGGCCCCGCCAAGGGTGCACACCTGCCTGAGGCTGCAAGCAAGCAACACAGAGCCTCACGGTCAGGCCGCCTTCTGGCCTCTGAAGGCGCCGAGGGGCCAGCTGCTCAGGTGCAGCAGTCAGATGAGGCAAGGCTGAGGCCCAGCACCGGGGCGGGGGCGACGACCAGGATAGTAGGAACCTATACCCAGCGACCCTGACACTGAAGGTGCCGGCGCTCCGCGGTGCTGGCCGGCACTCTGGGCCACCCGGGCCATGCGCCACACCACCCCTTCCCTTTGGGGGCATCCTGGGACTCGCCCCACCTGTTTTCTTGTCCTTCGCTCTGTACACCACCCCGTAAGTGCCTTCTTCAATCCTGTTCAGGCACTGGAACTCCTCCACACTCCGACAGCCCTGAGAGGAAGCCAGCATGAGGGCGCGGCAGCGGGGCCACACCCCAGAGGGAAGCCCCGCCGCCGGACAGACGTGTCAGGAGGGCCCGCAGGGCGCGTGGGCAGAGGCCCGGGAACGCTCTCCTCGCGTCAGTGAGCACGTGCCCCTTTATCCAAAAGCCAGCCCTGGGCAACCCCCCACCCCGCCACCTCCAGCCTCCTCATTCTAAGATGAGGCTGGGACAGGAGTGGCCCTGTGCACTGCACCCCCAGCTGGCGCAGGAAACCCCCAGGAGCTGGGGCGGCACTTGGCGCTGGGCCACTGGCCTTGGGGCGCCCGGAGCACCTGAGGCCGCTCACCCTCTGGAGACCTGCCCTCTCCAACCCCCTCCCTCCAGCATCGTTGTTACCGACTTTTCCCAACAGAAAACCTGGGCTGACTCATAGCACTGCCCTCCGACCCCTGCACAGCGACTGGGCGAGGGGAGTAGGTGCCCACTCCGCCCAGGCCGAGGCAGAAGTGACCGCAGGGCTGACCGCCTGCCAGGCTGCCGGGCCCGCCCACTGACAGACACCCACAGCAGGGACCCAGCTTCTGCTCTCAGCAACCGGCCCCGTCCACAAGCAGCAAGGCAGAGCCAGGCCTGGGGCGGGGAGGGCACCTGACCTGCAGGGCTGGCAGGTACTTGGGCAGCTCCTGTTTGAGCTCGATGGGTGACAGGGCTGGGGAGTCGGGCACGAAGTCCCCCTCGGTGAGGGCGCTGCTCTGGGGGGTGCCCTCGCCCACCTCCTCTTCCCCCTCTTCGCTCTCTCCAGAATCGCGGTCAAATCGTGACTCTGGAACTTCAAAAGTTCAACCCAATTACGAACCAAGAACAAGCAAGTGTGGCTACCCGACCCGTTCTGGGGGGGCACAGCGAGTGCAGAAAGAAGCCATATTGAGAGCCCCGGGGGCTGGGCACAGGCTGCGCGTCCCACCGCCCTGGACAGAGGGCACTGTGTCTTGGACCCACTGGCCGGGCTGGGACCACTGTGAACCACTGGCCGGTCGCGAGCCACAAGGCCCGCCCAAAACTTGCGGCCACTGGCCAGAGGGCTTGGCCTGGCTGCCTGCGGAGGCCATGCAGCCCCTGGTCAGCAACGGCCCTGTGGTCGGAGTCGAACTGGCGTTTCCCAGCCTCCCCTGATGTCCAAGCCCATTACTCTCAGGATGGCGCTCACTCAGCACTGTCCCTTCTAAGGGACGCGGGCCCCCACGGGCCCAAGTGGCCAAGTGCGGGGTGCTGGGGGAAGCAGCTCCCCGCGAGCCAGCTGGGTCCTGGGACGCACCAGCCAGGCGCTCCCTGTAGCTCCCGGGGCACGATGTGCCTCTGGGAAAGGATATTTCTTAGGTCGCTGCCCCGCTCACGACTCAAACGTGAGTCAGCACCCAGGTCAGGGGCAGACGAGGCGGCAGCGAAGCACCACTCGGGGGGCCTCTCACCAACCAAGACGTGGTTTTCATTCTCTCGCTCCTCCTCTTCACTCATTTCTTCTTCACTCACTTCCTCTGTAACGGAAACAGGTGTCACCTCAGACCCTCCACAAGCAGAAACGCGGTCCACGTTGGCCGACAAGGAAGCAAGGGCGCCCTATGTCGTCGACTCGGGAGCCTCATGTAAGTCCCAGACAGCCAGGCGTTTCCCATCTGGATACATTTTTACTGACGTTTCACATCACCCACCTGCAGCTGCTACGCTCTTACGGAGTTAAACCGCGTGCGCGCGTGCGGGCGGGGCGTGCGCGTGTGCGCGCGGGGCAGGGAGTGCGTGCGCGCTCACCGGCTGACTGTCCGGATGCGTCCTCGGAGTTGCTTCCGGTCTCCTCCTCCTCCTCCTCCTCCTCCCCCTCCGACTCTTCGCTGCTGCTCCCCTCCTCCTCCTCCTCCTCCTCCTCCTCTTCTTCCTCTTCCTCCTCCTCCTCGGAACCGGACCCTGACTCCGCTTCAGGAAGGAAACAGCCAGCAGTGAGCTTCGGCCCCGGGGGGCCACGGACCTGGGCGGGGCCGGGCACGCCGCTACCTGACGAGGACTCCGCTGAGCTGGTCCTCCTCTCGCTGCCGCTGATGTCCTGCAGGTCGGACAGCAGGTCTCTCTCTTCCACTTTCTCTTCTTTTACTTATGGAACAAACCATCGAAGGTGAATGTGGGAAAACGTCTGAAACTAACAAGATTCGATGGCGCTTCTCACACGAAGACTAACTTCGGTTTGTATGGGAAACAGCTCACCCAGATACCCGGGAGGAAGACGACTCTTCAAAAGACCAGTAACAAACGTCTGTGCTGATAAACTTATTTCGTACACAGTCCCTCTCACACACCACGGAAGCGTTTAGCGCATCGTGATGTAAAGCAGCAGCTTTCTGTGCTCAGACGCCCCTCGCAAAGACCGCCACACGCTGGCCCTGCGAGCGCTGTGCAGCCTCACCTGGCTTCCGGCTGTCCCCGAGCTCAAACCTCTCTCGAGGCGGCCGGAGTGGGCTCCGACTCCAGTGGCTGGGTTTCACCTTGTCGCCATAGTCCTCTCTCGCTGTCCGGTGATGTGCAGACACTAGGCACAAGAACAGAAAGGAGGTGGTGCCGGCAGCCCCCTTTCCCACGGCACACACGCCCCCACCCCCACACAGCAACGGAATGGAGCACAGGAAACGACCAGAGGACCCAGGTGGGCTTTCTAGACTGCTCTCTATTGGTCAAAAGGCAGGGGCCAGAACCCACCTCTCCAGCCTGGGCCTGACCCCCCGTGAGTGGACCCCAGACACAGCTGTCTGGGGCAGACAGCCCACACCCCAGGAGCCGCAGGGTCGTCCGGCCCCGCCCCCCGCCCCCCCCCCCCGCCCGGCCCCCCCCCCGCCCCACCTTCCCGCCGGGCCTCCCGCTCCTTGCGTCGCTCCTCGGCCCGCCGCTCCCGCTCCTTCTGCTCCCTCTGCTCCTTCTGCTGCTCCCGCATCTTGCGCTCCCGTTCTCGCTTCCTTTCTAGCTGCTCGAGACGGTCCCTGGAACCAGCACACGCCACATTTTCACCCCGAAACAGGCAGTTCTCCTTTTTGCCCCCAGTGCTTTTGCTCGCGTTTATAAACCACTTCTCTGGGCCGTTCAACCCTCAGAGAGCTGTTTAAAAAGCAGAACACACACGCATGCGCGTCCTGGGAACCTCGATCCTAAAGCGTCACTCCCGGTAACAAGGAGGTAACAACAACTGCCTGGGGCAGAAACCCCACTGGCTCCAGAACATTCTGCTCGCCAGCTCTACCGAGATCGCCAAGAGGATTTCCCTCCGTGCACACAATGTAAATCCACCTCTACCAGAAGCCAAGTCGTTCTGGGCCCCCAAGGGCTGGGAGAGCCCATCTGAGGAAAGGCGGGGGAGCCACAGACCTGGGCCGGGCGCCCTGCGGATCCGGGGGTCAGGAAATATCAGTGACCAGTGACCGAAACACGGGGGGGGGTCGGCGGCACCGGACGCCAAAGAGTTAAAACTCATCAGTCCGTTAACCCTCAGGTCCCTACAGGGTTAAGTCCAAATACAACTTTAAAAGCGAACACGTTAAACAAAAAAGGCAGCATTATACACACAGAAATGAGCACAAGCAAAAAACGGTGAGAGCGCAACCAGGGCCGCCAGTGCTTTCCACACAGTCAGACGTCACCACTGGAGGGGCCGGACCACGGCTACTGGGCTCCACGCACTGTCTTATAAATGCCAGTGAATCCAAACTACCCCCAAATAAAAGCGGAAGGAGACTTCCCTGGCGGCCCAGTGGTTAGGGCGCCGCACTTCCAGTGCAGGGAGTGCGGTTTTGGTTTCATGCCGCGCAGTATGGCAAAACAAACACAGAAAGTGGAGGTATAACTTACATATAGAATTCAACCAGCGAGCTCAGTTTCTCTGAACACATCCCTGGAATCGGGCAACCATCACAAGCTGGCTTCAGGACACTCCCAGCACCCACGGATCGTACCGCCTGTGGCCCCCCCACCCCGCCTCCCAAGCCTGCTTCTCCCTGCTCTGCATTTGCCAACGTTTCTTCGGCTTGCTTCGGGATGAGTTTGCTTTTTTTCTGGTTTCTTTGGGTAGAAGGTTAGGTTATTGATCCAAAACTTCCTTCTCTGCTTCCCGGTTTAGCTGCTTACAGCTGAAAACACTTCACTCCAAGCACAGCTGGAGCCGCATCCCTAGGTTCTGACACACTGTCTTTGCTCTCATCTTGTTCAAAATATTTTCAGGGAATTCCCTGGTGGTCCAGTGGTTAGGACTTGGCGCTTCCACTGCTGGGGCCTGGGTTTGATCCCTAGTCAGGGTACTAAGACCCTACAAGCTTCGAGTCGCGACCAAAAAAAAAAAAGTTCAAAATATTTTGTTTTTCCTTACAATTTTTTCTTCGGGCCATGGGTTTTTCACAAACGGGTTGTTAGATTCCCAACATTTGAGGATTTCCCCAGGTTTCGTTCTGTTGTTTTTTTTTTTTTGCGGTACGTGGGCCTCTCACTGTCGTGGCCTCTCCCGTTGCAGAGCACAGGCTCCGGACGCGCAGGCTCAGTGCCCATGGCTCACGGGCCCAGCCGCTCCGCGGCATGTGGGATCTTCCCGGACCGGGGCACGAACCCGCATCCCCTGCATCGGCAGGCGGACTCTCAACCACTGCGCCACCAGGGAAGCCCTGTTGCTTTTTTTTTTAATAGAAATTTATTTTTGGCTGTGTTGGGTCTTTGTTGCTGCGTGCAGGCTTTCTCTAGTTGCAGTGCGCGGGGGCTGCTCTTTGTTGCGGTGCGCGGGCTTCTCATTGTGGTGGCTTCTCTTGTTGCGGAGCACGGGCTCTAGGCACGTAGGCTTCCGCAGTTGTGGCTCACGGGCTCAGCAGTTCTGGCTCACGGGCTCTAGAGCGCAGGCTCAGTAGCTGTGGCACACGGGCTTAGTTGCTCCGCAGCATGTGGGATATTCCTGGACCAGGGCTCAAACCCGTGTCCCCTGCATTGGCAGGTGGATTCTTAACCCCTGCGCCACCAGGGAAGCCCTGTTGCTGACTTCTAATTGAATTCTTCTGTGATAAGAGGGCATACTTTGTATGGCCTCAATTCTTTTAAATTTCAGACTTGTTCCACGGCCTGGCACACGGTCTCTGTTGAAAACTCATCCCAGGAGCTCTTGGGGCAATCCATGTCCCGCGGCTGTGGCTGCAGTGCTGTGTCCACCTGTCCCCCAGCCTCTGTTCACCTGGGAAGGCCTTTATTTGCCCCTCACTTCTGAGGCTGGCTGTGCTGGATACAGAATTCCGGGCTGGCCGGGTTCCTGCCTGTGGCCCCCCGGTTTCTGATGAGAAGCACCCCGCTCGCTGTTGCCCTTCATGAATTTCTCACTAACTTCCCCAGTCTGGCTGTGACTTTGTACTTATCCTACCTGGCGCTCACTGAGTTTCTCGGATGTGTAGATAAAACGGTTTTCATCAAATCTGGGAAGCACTCAAGTCATTATTTAAAAGCTGCCTCTGTGCCCCCCCTTCCCTCCCACACGCCGCACGTGTGCTGGTACACTGGATGCTGTCCCACAGATCTTGAGATTGAAGATCCTTTCCTCTCTGTCTTCAGAAGGCGTGAAGTCTGTTGCTCCGTCTTCAGGTTCCTTGCTTCCAAGTCTTCGCCAAATCTGGAAACGCTGTCTACTGTGTCTTTCTTCCTTAATACGGGGTCAAACCTTCTTACGCCTTTGTATGTCTCAAAACTTCTTGTTGAAAACTGGACATTCTAGGTAACATCTTGCAACTACCCTGCGCTCGAATTTTTCCTCCCAGTTGTTGCTGTTTAGTAAGCCGCTGGGCTAATGACCCTGTGAACTCTTGTCTCCCTTGTACAATGTGGCCACTGCTGCATTTTTCCATGTGCTCCTCTTTATTTTCAAGCTTGGCTTCCTTGGGGTCACCACCGTGTCTGCACAGCTGTGTGACTGGACCACACTGGACAGAGCACAGGGCTTAGCAAACGTGAGTGTGTCATGTGCCAGCAGCCAGGACACTGAAGGCTCTGCTGGCCTCACAGTGGCCTTAGACACCAACCTCCCAGCTGCACCTCTCACACTCCCTGAGTCCTGAGAACGAAGGCTCTCCTCACACCTGCTGTACCTGCCCTCTGTTCAGCCCTGGCTGCTGGGAATGTCAGCACCTTCCAGCCTGCTACTTCCCTTCCGTGAAGCAGCGCAGCTCTCAAGCTCTCTCTGGAAATGACTGCAGGACCCAGAGGTGGCCCTAGGACTCACACCTGGGCCACGCAGAACAGATCTGGGGTGAACAGATGCTCTCTCCTGGAACTCTAAGCCCGCACAGAGGCACCTGGAGACGAACGCCCAGGAGTCTGGTATCCCAGCTCCTGGGCCATTTCAAGGCCTTTGGGATTGCCTTTGTCACTTCTCCTTTTGTTTCTTGTTTGGAAGAACCAGAGTCTATTTCTGCTGCGACCCCAGACAACCCTAAGCAACACATCTTGTTGGTCTTCCTGGACAAGGCCCCTTGGAACAGAGCTGGTGCAGAGCAGGCGCTCCGCACACACCTGCCGAGTGAGCAGACGGGGAATCGCCCACACCCCAGGCCTCCCCGCACTGACTCTGCCTCAGGACTCATGTGCAGGGACTGGCTACCCCCAGAGTGGCTCCACCCGGGCCTGGACAGCAGCCCTCGCCCTCCTCTCCGGGGGCGTCGGGCTCGGGTGTGGACAGCCGCTCCCCTCCTCCAGCCACCTGCCACCCCTCCCTCCTCTCTCTCCTTCCCCTACGGCTGTATGTCCAGCCCAAACCTTCGCTCCTCGCCTCTTGATTCCTCTTGGACCCCCAGCTCCGTCCAGCAGCACCCCTCCCTGCAGGCCCGTGTCACAGGCGGGCGCAGAGGCACCGCCCACCCGGGACGCCAGCCTCACCTCTCCCTCCGGGAGTGCTCCCGCGCCAGCTCCCTCCGCTTCTGTCGCTCCCACTCCCGCCGGGCCTTATCCTGCTCTTCTCGGTGCCGTTTACGGCGCTCGTGCTCTCTCTCCTTCTCCTTCACTCTGGCATGCTTCCCTAGTGGCAAACAGGATGTGTCATACCAAGAAACTTAACCTCCAGAAACTCAACTTGAAAATACCCAGTGAAGAAAACAAAAAATATCTAATCATTGACTTGGAGAAACAATCATGACTTTCTGTTAAAAAAAAAAAAAAGAAAAAAAAAAGAGGATGAAAATATAACACTCTATGCAGTAAGCCTCCAGTTAAGAAAAAACCAAAAATAATGTGATTATCACTGAATAGAACTGTGATCTCCATCTTTCTTTCTAATTTTCTGTATTAAATAAACTGTGATTAGACTGTATCAGTTTCACGATTTAAAAAGAAATCCCCACTTGTAAAGGATACGGGACGAAGCTTATCGCCTTTTAGTTTCTACACTACGTTATACACCACGTTAGCCAACTGAGTTTAACAATGAGATTTATATCAGGCCCCAGGCCCAGTTTTCCCTACACCCCTAAGAAGCTCTTTAATACTGGTATGAAATAAAACCCATTATTTCAGTTTTATCAAGCATCTGTTTCTTAGTTAAAGCAATTTAGCATTGAAGACTGTGTTTTCCCTTGTTGAATTAAGACAATTCTGTAGGTAGACAAACTACCCCAGAACAATGCAATCAGGGGGAAACACACAGAAGAAAACATAGAAGGAAAACAATGTATCTATTCGGAATGATCTACAATAAATTTATGTTGTTAGCTAAAATTTTATTCTCTTCGCTTTCAACTGTGCTTTGGAGAAGGCAGTAGATCATGAAATAGGAACGAGACCGCATCTGAACACAATACAAAAGAAAACAAATGCTCTGTACCCCCTTCTGTGGAATGACTACGATGCCTACGTTTCTCTTTTCTCTTTTCATCTTTCCTGTGATGAGCTTTTTCTTTCCGAGACATTTGCTGGGGTGGTTTGATAGCCAAAGAATCATCTTCCTCTCCTCTGAAATAAGACACCACAGCATTACATCACGCCTGAGAAAGTAATGTGAGGAGCACCGGGGTATCGTGGAGTGTCTTCAACCCAGAGAGATGACGGGTTCAGAACAGACAGGTGAACCTCAACCATCAGCTAAAAGATGATGTTCATTATGAAACCTAAGCCGAAACTGTATATTAAATACAGATTCAGATGGAAAGTGTTAAGTGGGGAATCAATGTGAAACATGGAACAGAAAGGCCTCTCTGAGGAACTTTTAGGGTATTCATGATCTTGGTCGTGGGGAGAGCTTACAGGTATATAACAACGTATCAAACCACACACCTGAAATCTGTGCAGTTTGTCATTCACACCATAATAAAGTTGTTAAAAAAGGTCCCACAATTTTAATCAAACTTAATGATCTCAAAAGGTCATTTAACAATATTTTCAACTGATTATATAACCAAAATCTTGGAAGAATTCACACCCTATGCCTTTTTGCCTTAATTTCTGGTTATGTTGTTTTTAACTGCTTGATGATGGACATGAGAAGAAAACAAGTGAGGAGAAAGCACAGCACGGGAAGAAACGTCAGAACATACAGACCTCGGTAGGACCGTTTCTGTATCAAGGCCTTGCTCCAAGTATCTTTCAGCAGCTACTTTGGTTTATTTGTAGATAATTTTAGACAGTAATTATACAAATCATCACAAACATACAGCAGAATTCTTTACATGTACCACGTGAATGGTGTTCACTTCACTGCAGAATGATCACAAAGAAAGGAACACACGCTCAGGCTTTTCCTAAGAAGAGGGGAGAGCTGGTAACTGACACCACACAAGAGTCATTTCAGTCTAGAGGTAAACCTCAGGTCATGACCTCAAACTTTCAAAATAACACTGAGAAGGGCCAGCCAGGACCACAGCCCCGTCATGGGCTCAGCCTGCCTCCTCAGGGGAGCGCACCTGCAGCCGCTGGGCTCCTTCACCGCCACGGCCCTCTCACCTGTCCTCCATGGAGCCCTCTCTTCTATACGGCGAGTTCCTTATCGTTATCTCCATGCGGTGGTCCCTCAGCTCCCCCTCCTCCAGGGAATCCCGCTTGGAATCCCGGTCATCAGACTAAGAAGCAAGGAGAAAGCAATTTTCCTTACAGATAAGCCTATTTTTCATAATACTCAAACCTTGCCACTATCCGAAAACAAACTTTCATACACACTTTGAGTGGACCAATGTTATAAAATATAAAAAACTTTCATTCAAATCCCGTTGATTTTTCGTACAACTCTCTGTAACCCAGAACCTGAGAAATTTAACACCAGCGTATACGACAGGGGACATTAGACTCTGTGACAAGTCTGTTAGCTGTTTATATTAGCCATAACTGAGCCTTAAAGCATATTTTATACACCAAATACTTTACAGTATCTCAAAAAGTACTCATAAATACGTAAGAAAGATCTGCTGCTAAACTTATCAGAAGAGGAATGTCTTTCAATGCCCCTTATCAAATTACTAAAGTTTTCCTATGTTATTAGGCAAACCAAGAAAGGTGTAAAACAATAATACTAACTTCAAGGCAGCTTCCTACTAGGCTAAAAGTACTTGGAAATGGTGTCATAAACACAATGATGAAATGAGAAAAATAAGCCCAACCGCACTAGTGATTTTAGGTTCAAAATACTTTATTTTCCACGTGGCTGTGGTCATCTATATGCAGCTTTAGTATGTTATCGATCTGCTGTCAATGTAAACTGAGTATCTGAATGTTTTTGTTAATTTTTAGAATAGATTTTGGGCTCACCTGCGACATTTGGAAGTACAAAAGAACTTCACCGAAGAAGCGTTGTTCTAATGGAAAAATGAGGGCAAAGAAATTAAATCTCCTTTAAAAAAAACACTTACTTAAAAAACATGGCTTACATTTTTTAAGCGTTTTATCTCTGCTTTCTCCTCTTGTTCCTTCCGTCGTTTCTTTTCCTGAAGAATTTCATCTAAAGTTTTCACTTTCCAAGAGTCCTTTTCATCACCCATTTGAGTTAAAACACTGCAAAAAAGACGAAGAATTCAAACTGTGTCAGGACTCAGCAAACTGTGGTTTGATGCTATGCTGTTTCTGCACACTTGTGCCTTGCCACTTTTGAGCGCTTCAGTACAAATCTTTGTTAAGAGGGATGGGCTCTGCCAGAAATAAACCCACACACCTATGGTCAATTAATCTTCGACAAAAGAGGCAAGAATATACAATAGGAAAAAGACAGTCTCTTCAGCAAGCAGTGCTGGGAAAGCTGGGCAGCTGCATGTAAATCAATGAAGTTAGAACACACCCTCACACCATACACAGAAATAAACTCAAAATGGCTTAAAGCCTTAAACAGAAGACATGACACTCTAAACCTCCTAGAAGAGATCACAGGCAAAACATTCTCTGACATAAATGGCACCAGTGTTTTCTTAGGTCAGTCTCCCAAGGCAACAGAAATAAAGCAAAAATAAACAAATAGAACCTAATCAAACTTACAAGCTTTTACACAGCAAAGGAAACCGTAAACAAAACGAAAAGACAACCTACGGACTGGCTGAAAACATTTGCAAACGATGTGACTGACAGGGCTTAATTTGCAAAATATACAAACAGCTCATACAACTCAACAACAAAAAACCAAACAACCCAATTGAAAAAAGGACAGAGAGCTTCCCTAGTGGCGCAGTGGTTGAGAGTCCGCCTGCCGATGCAGGGGACACGGGTGCGTGCCCCGGTCCGGGAAGATCCCACGTGCCGCGGAGTGGCTGGGCCCGTGAGCCATGGCCGCTGAGCCTGCGCGTCCGGAGCCTGTGCTCCGCAACGGGAGAGGCCCGCGTACCGCAAAAAACAAACAAACAAACAAAAAGGACAGAAGACCTAAATAGACGTTACTCCAAAGAAGAAAACAAATGGCCAACAGGCACATGTAAAGATGCTCAACATCGATAATTATTAGAGAAATGCAAATCAAAACTACAACAAGGTACCACCTCACACCCGTCAGAATGGCCATCAATAACAAATGCTAGAGAGGGTATGGAAAAAAGGGAAACGTCCTACACTGTTAGTAAGAATGTAAGTTGGCTTAGCCACTACGCAGAACAGTACGGAGGTTCCTCAGAAAACTAAAAATAGAACTACCGTATGATCCAGCAATCCCACTCCTGGGCATATATCCAGGCAAAACTATAATTAAAAAGGATACACACACCTCCTCCCCCATGTTCATAGCAGCACTATTTACACTAGCCAAGATATGGAAGCAACCTAAATATCCATTGACAGATGAATGGATAAAGATGTGGTACGTATATACAATGGACTATTACTCAGCCATAAAAAAGAATGAAATACATTTTCAAGGATGCTGCCTGGAGAGAGCAATGTGTTACTGAGACCATTTGGACTACATATGCGAATAAACCCGTTAAGGCCTCTATATAAACTTTCCAGATCCTGGTGGGCAGGTGTGGAGATCTACTCATCTTGTGGACACCCAAGACAAGCCTCTATTACCTCCTATTGGTGGAACCTATGCGGGCGCCAGATGGCAAAGCGGAGATGCAGTGAGCAGCCCCAGCTCCAGCACCCCAGAGTTTGGAAGGATGGGACTGGAACTGGAAGACAACTGCTCAAAGACCACCAGAGGACCCCATTAGGATGCAGAATGTTCTAGGATGCACAGAATTTATGGCTATCTTTGGGAAACCACAACTTTCAAAAGTCCACTTAATTAGAAAGACACTGCCACTATTGCCACTGACTCCAGGGCCATGCTGTATTTGCTCTGATCTGCCCCAGCAACACGGATGCCCAGGACCCTGCTTCTCAACATCCACAGGTAGAAACTGGACAATGGCATGTCTCTTTAATTCTGCTGCCAAAAAATCGGTTCCTGTGCCTGTAGAAATGGCAAAAATGCGCCCCCCCCGCCAAATGCAGTCTCTGCCTCACTTCCAGCCTTCAAATCTCACGTATGTGTATGTGACTGGCTGAATGTAAATCACACTGAGAACCCTAGTTTCATGGGAGTCTGGAAACCATGGTATTCAGCGTTCCACTCTCTGCCTTTCAGAAAGGCAAACTAGAAGAAGGGTGAAGTGGATATTGGGCACAGGTCTACTGTTTCAATCTCGATAACGATCCTTTACCAGGTGTTTTTTTTTTTTTGCTGTACGCGGGCCTCTCACTGCCGTGGCCTCTCCCGTGGCGGAGCACAGGATCCGGACGTGCAGGCTCAGCGGCCATGGCTCACGGGCCCAGCCGCTCCACGGCATGTGGGATCCTCCCGGACCGGGGCATGAACCCACGTCCCCTGCATCGGCAGGCGGACTCTCAACCACTGCGTCACCAGGGAAGCCCTACCAGGTGTTTTTTGAAAGGATTAAATGTGGTAATATGTGGAAGTGCCTATTTCAGTAGCTGCATGTAATAATACGCAATAATCGGGTTCACTTAAACCACTTATTCATAATTCAAGAATAAATTTTCCATGTCCAAATGCTATACAATTAATATTCCAAACATGAATTCACTATCAATTTGTCCATGGGTACAGTTGGAAATACCTCTACTTGTCTGAGATTATAACTGTGTATAGAATTCACACCTTAAATTAACTGCTGACCAGAATGGTAGCCACCAGCCACATGTAGCTATTGAGCACTTCAACTGTGGCCAGGCTGAATTAAGCTGCGCTTTAAGTATAAAATACACACTGGATTTCAAAGACTTTGTGTAAAAAATGTAAAATACCTCATTAATAATTTTACACTGATTATTACATGGTTGAAATAGTAATATTTTAGAAATATTGGGTTAAATAAAATGTATTATTAAAATTTAAAAAAAAGAATGAAATAATGCCATTTGCAGCAACTTGGATGGACCTAGAGATTGTCATACTAAGTAAACTAAGTCAGAAAGAGAAAGACAAATACCGTGTGATATCACTTATATGTGGCATCTAAAATATGACACAAATGGGACTTCCCTGGCGGTCCAGTGGTTAAGACTCGGTGCTTTCACTGCTGGGGCCTGGGTTCAATCCCTGGTCAGGGAACTAAGATCCCAGAAGCCACGTGTGGCCGAAAAAAAAAAAAAGAAGAGACACAAATGAACTTATCTAGAAAACAGAAAGAGTCACAGACATAGAAAACAGACTTGTGACTGTGGCGGGGGGGAGGGAAGGACTGGGAGTTTGGGGTCAGCAGAAGCAAACTATTATACACAGGACGGATAAACAACAAGGTCCTACTGTAGAGCACAGGGCATTATATATACAATTTCCTGTGATAAACCCGTAACAGAAAAGAAGATAAAAAAAGAACGTATATACATGTATGACTGAACCACTTTGCTGATTTTAGAAAAACTGAAAAACTAGAAAGAAAGATTAAAAAAAAAAAGTGATGGGCTCTGGAAAATGACCACTTGGATTCCAATTTCTTTGCTGTCATTCCTGTGCTGTCCAGGGCTAGTTACTTCATCTCAGCTTACCATTCCGTAAACGGTAAGAAAACCACCTATATGACAGTATCACTGGGGATTAAATGAGATCACCCAGGTAAAGCTCGTAGCTCAGTACCTGGCACTCACCAAGCACTGTTTTTGCCGTCAGGAGGATTTATTAGAAAGACGACCTGGGGGCTTCCCTGATGGCGCAGTGGTTAAGAATCCGCCTGCCAATGCAGGGGACACGGGTTCGGGCCCTGGTCCGGGAAGATCCCACATGCCGCGGAGCAACTAAGCCCGCGCACCACAACTACTGAGGCCGCGAGCTACAACTACTGAGCCCGTGTGCTGCAACTACTGAAGCCCGCGCGCCTAGAGACCCTGCTCCGCAACAAGAGAAGCCACCGCAGTGAGAAGACCGCGCACCGCAGAGTAGCCCCCGCTCGCCGCAACCAGAGAAAAGCCCGCGCGCAACAACGAAGGCCCAATACAGCCAAAAAATAAATTAATAAATAAATAAAATAAATTAAAAAAAAAAAAAAAAGGAAGACGACCTGGGCTGCGTGGGTCACTGGCCCATCGGACGGCTGCAGCCCCAGCACGGGATACGGGGAGGCCTGGGTGGTTGCTCCGAGGGCGCGCTCGGAGACCAGGCCGCGGGTTCCCGATTCTTGGGGTTCAGTCGCGCTAGCTCGTGGTTCGGCCCGGCAGAAGTTGGCTCGGGGAGCTCCTGGGCCCGCCGCCTCCTCCACCCCGAGTTCCGCGCCGGGCGAGATGGCCGAAGAGTGTCGCCCGCCCCGGCCCACGCGCTCGAGGCCCGCCGGGATCCGAGAGTTTAGGTGAGCCGGCCGCGCCCCGCTCCGCCCCGCCCCGCCCGGCCCGCCGCCACTCACCCCTACGCCACCGCCGCCGGACCCGGAGCCTGAGAAGAAACTGCCCGGCGCGCGCCAGGAGCGTCGTCACTTCCTGCGTCGGCGCGGGCTGATGACGACGGAGGGCGGGCCCCATGGGCGGGCCCACCCCACCCATTCACCCCCACCCCCCCAACCCCCCCTCCCCGCCGCCGACACTAGACCTGCGCAGAGTGCCGGGCGCGCGCTAGCGCGTTATTACGGGCCTCGGCGCCGACTGCTGACGACAGCCGGGGTGCCGGGGCGGGGCAAGTCCCTGCTGGCAGCTCGGGTTCGTCGGAAGTCCGGGCCTGGCCTGGTCCGGTGCCCGGTGTTGCGCCCTTTCTCCCAGTCCCCGTGACCCCGACCCCGGCGGTGGCGCGGTGGCCTCCGAATCTTGCCTACGGAAGACCTCCCGCCGGACCGGGGCGGGGAGAGCGGTTGCCACGGGGTTTTAAGCTGTGCTGAGGCGGGGGAGGGGGGCCCTCAAAGTCCGTGCACTCCCTCACCGTGAGGTGCGGCTTCTAGCCTGTTGAGGCTCTCAGAATGAAGTTCTCTTCCCTGGCTCCAGTTACTCTGCGGACCTTGGTGGTCACAGAAAACTGGCAGTTCAACCTCGAGAACCTCAGGAAAGAGAACGGTAAACGAATACCCACATTCACTGGACCTGAAATGGAAAATGTAGAAAAATGTGACAGGAAATGGGGGCACAGAAAGGGCGGTGGAATTGGAATTCTTTCTCTTCCCGGAAAGAAATGGTTACTTTCTGTATCCAAGCGCTTGTTTTGCTTCCTGAGTTTTTGGTGACAGGAAAAAACCAATTTTTTTTACTCCCTTCACGCTGAAAAGGGGTGAAGGCAATAAGAAGCCACCCTTGTTCATTTCAGTAGCGCGAACACTGGGGAGTTACACGAGGAAGAGAACAGTACACGCTGAACGTTTATTTTACTTTCGCAGAACAAGAGTCCTAGATAGTTGCTACCATGGCGGCTTAACTTAGACAAAAATAACCAGGGGGCGTCCGCAGGATTCACTGTACAGCATCGATGCATTACCGTAGCGGAATTAACAGTGACTCGGCTATTTAACCACCATTTTCTAGAAAGAATTCATCTAATCACATAAATACCGAAATAAGTGAAATACAAATCACTACAGACGTTTTGCACGATGTGCTTTTAGTTCTCCGCAGTTTTGTTTGGTATAAAGCACATATAATTTGGTTCTGATATAGACAATTATTGATATAATTTTCAAGTTTTTCAGTGTGGGAAAGTCACTCTCACTGTGGCCCTCTGCAACGTGGTGCCCACAACACCGCCCTGGGCGGGTGCAGACGCTACTCACACATCTGCAGTCTAGAAATAGCACATCAGCTGAACGCCAGTTTTCCTCTGATGAAAACTGGAAAAAAAAACCCAAAACACCAAAGACTCTGCCGATTAGAACAGTTTCCAACTCAGTTTGGACATCTAGGCGTGGACCCAGTGGCCATCAAACTCAGAATCTCAGCCCTCAGGAGGAGAGGAGGAGATACTACAGAGACAGCAAACTGGAATGTTTTACACCCTGAGCTGCAGGGTGAGTACGCCAAGCGATGGTCAGCACAACCTCATGACTCTGCTCTCGGCCCCTCAGCCAGGATAGAGAAATAGGCAGACTCTTCAGGGGAGCTGGGACGTTCTTATTTATAAACTAAGAAAACAAAGAGGTCCCAACCAGGGCATGTACGTGTTTTGGAGAAAAACAGAGCCCTTAGCACAATGTTGGTCAAAGGCAAAAAGAGAGGAGAGTTTCTACCTGTAATAACATCTTTGTTTAATTTTTCCAACCCAGGGGAACAGTGAAAATACTTTCAGGCATCAGGAAGCACACCCCCTGGACAGATGTAAAAAGACATGTTGCATTTCTTTGATCCCCTCTGGCCCATCTATAAATGACCGTCCATGGGACAGTCAGCGCCGCACAGGAGGGAAAGCCCACCAGTTTGGGGAAAGTATTTCAAGGGCTGGTGACGAGCATGGCTCCATATGGATGACATTCCTCGTGCAGCAATTTTTTACTGTTTGATTCACAAATTAAAGACACATTTTGGACTGTGCAAGAGTATTCTCAGCTTTCCAAGGCATATGATTTTAATGCTGATATGCAGGAAATTATGACTATCAGAATTCTTTTTTAAAAAAGCCTTTTTTATGCCACTCAGTAGTGGAAATTTCCTTGAAAGCCAGAGAAGTGTGGATACTACATCTCTACGTATCAATGTAAGTAAGCAGATGACCAGATTCAGAAGCCTGGTTCAAGAGTTTGTTTACAAAGGCACGGATGACGACCAAAGACATAGGAGGAAGGGACCCAATGTAACACACAACACCCGGTGTCAACACTGGTACGAGCACACCTGCGATGGTTCAGTGAAAAGAACATACTAAAAAACCACTAAACAAAGTTAATTAAAAAACATGTCTGTACGGTTATTAAACAAATGCCATTGCCAGGCTGCGGAAACGCCCAACATGTGGACGACTTAGGGGTGGGGATGCAGACAGAATGCAGCTGCAGCACATGTTTTGTGGTCTCCCACCCGGGATGAGGAGAAGTCTCAAAAGCAGCTTTGCTAGAAACTGCCTCATTTACTAATAATTTAGGAAAATCTTTCTTGGTCCTAATATCTAGAAAATCAAAACAGGATGAGAGTGGAGGGAGGGGCACGTCCACAGGAGGCAGGGACCCAGGTCCCTAACAACACTCGGACACAGGCGGCTGGCACCTGATAACACTCAGATGACAGTCTGCCGTGGGCAACCACAGATGCACCCCTTCTGTTCACGTCTCCCCATCAGCCGTGGGCACAGTGGCCACAGTCTGAGGGCAGAGGCAGCAGCCCCAGGGAAACGGTGCTTTCTCGCTGGTCCTCACAGATCAGTGCACCAGCCGCCACCCCAGCTACCGCCAAAGAATCCTCTTTAGTTTGGTTTTGGGGGGAAGCAGAAAAAGAGGAAAGGGATGAAACCTGGGAAAGTCACACGAGCAACCCCTGCACAGCGAAGGTGCGTGTGACCCGCCGTCCTCTGGAGCAGGAGGTCAGCTTCGTAAAAAGGTTGTTTGTAGCTTAAAAGGCCTCATTTTAATCCATCATCATTACAAGATTTTTAAAGTTAGCGGAACTTAATGAGATATGGTTATTGCTCTTTGTTTCCAAGAGATCTGCTCTCCAGGAGGGGCTCTTTTATATTTTCCAGCTGAGAAGCCAACTGGAAAACCAGAGAAGCAATCAGGGAGCCCAGGCCCCGAACAGCTGGGAATGCTGCCTGAGACTCAGGGAACGATTTGTGCCTTCGGGTGGCTCTGTCCGCAGGCTGGCTGGAGATGGCCAGGTGGCCAGCCCGCGGCCCCGAGTAGGGCTGCACCTGACAAGCCCCAGAGCTCTAGCCTGGTGGGAGGGAGGGGGCTGCGTCCGATCAGAAATCCCAACGGGCTGCGAGGCAAGAGGTGAAGCGAGGGGTGGCGCCTCAGCCCACCACAGGCCTCAAACACCTGGCTGGCTGTCCGTCTGTCTGCTCTGCAGGCGGCGGGCCGGGCCAGGCCGTGGGTCCGACTGTGGTTTACCTGGCATACACGATGCGTTCCATAAGCCACCTATGCCTGTGTTTCCTTTTAAAAACCTACACTGTCATTTTAAACGCAGCATAACAAAAACAGTAAATATTCCACACTCGTCCTGCTCATCATTCACGAGGGAAAATCCTAAAAGCCTCGTTGATGAGACAAGGCAAGGCTCCTGACCAGTTGAGTGGGGACGGGTGCTCCCCAGGGGCGCTCCGAACAGCCTGCCTCTCACCCAGGGGAGCAGAAGGGACAGAAGCCCCCTCCCTGAGCCAAACACCGCGGGGGGCTGCCCGCAGCCTCGGGCTAGAAACCACGTCTGGGCCTCTGGGGAGCCCCGGCCGCAGGTGAGGGCTGGACCTTCAGGTGAGGAGCTCGGCGCAGCAGGCACGGAAAGGGGTGGGGCCGCCTTCGCTCCGTGAGTGACCTTCCCTAAGTGGTGCTGATGCGGGCAGCTCGGCCTCGGGCAGGAGGGCGGGACGCCGGGGCCGGACACTCCATCCTCAGGAGCAGGGAATGCCGGTCTCTGCACCCCAGCTGTCCCCTCTCCGCTCAGTGCCCCGATGCCGTGGCCTCCGTGTCTGGGCAGCGGACAGACTCCCTGACAGCCGAGGAGCCGGACGTACCTCGGGTGGCCGCCGACGGCTGGCGTGGGGAAGCGGGTTCTCTCCGCCGGCTACAAGTGGGGAGGGCAGCCACTGGCACCTGGCTGCAGCCCCGGCTTCACAGCTGTCCCCAGTGGTCGTCACCCACAGAGGAATCGGGGCCTGGCCTGGCTGCAGGGGGTGCGCAGAGGCCGCCAGGAGGAGGTTGTCACGTGGCTCGGCAACGGCTCAGTGGCAGCTGTGGTCTGTGCCCCAGGGGCTGACATCTGGGACCCCGATTCGAGCTCCCACAGCTCTGACCGAACGTCCCAGGAAAGAGCGGGAAAGGCTGGCCACCCGCACCTCCCACACCCGGACTGTGACCCGTGGAGCCAGAGGCCCCACGCCTGCCATCCAGGGAGCAGGAGAGGCGAAGGGGGTCCCCCACTGGCAAGGAGCGGCATGGTGCGCTGCGCCCCTGAGGCTCCGGGGCTCAGTGGTGTGGCCGGGGGTCCGGGGGGAGCAGCGGCTCAGGGCTGCTGTCTGGGGACTGGCTGGTGGCCGCAGCCAGGCTCTGCATGGCCTCCCGCTGCTGCTGCTTGGCCTTGTTGTAGAGCAGGACTCCGGCTGTCACCAGCACGGTGCCCACGGCTGACAGGCTGGTGACCCTGTTGCCGAAAACGATGACGCTGAGCCAGACGGACAGGGCGTGCTTGACGGTGCTGGTGACACTGCGGGAGAGGACAGTGGGGACGTCGGCGGGGGCCGAAGGCGTCTCCGCTAACCCCACTCTTTCATGCTGGGGTCCTTCCTACTAGGAAAAAGGTCACCGAGAAGTAGCGACACTTCCAACCAAAAGCCGAGTCCCATCTTCACACTCAGCGTTTTGCCTTATTTTGCTTCGTCCTTTTTTTGACGGAAATATTTCTAAGTACATTATAGCTATCATGACATTTGATCCCTCACTACTGCAGCGTGCTCTCCATAGAACGAGGAAGGTTCCTCTGAGAGCGCCTGAGAGAACCGATCATTAGGGAGAGTATCTGGGAAGTGACACAGCCCTGCTCAGCCACTGCTGGGACCTCATGAAGATAAAGTGAACACGACAGGGCTTGTCTCCTGGGCTGCCATTGAGGACAATTTAAACTTAATTTTTGTACTTTTCTACCTAAAGCTATTTTCTTTAAAAAGAACTGGTTTGGGGACTGTCCTCGTGGTCCAGTGGTTAAGACTCCGCACTTCCAATGCAGGGGGCCCAGGTTTGGTCCCTGGTCGGGGAACTAGATCCCATATCCCGTACAGCAGCCAAAAAAAATTTTTTTAATAAAATAAAAAAGAACTGGTCTTCTGTTTTCTGCCTTTTTTGAACCGTCAACTAACAATCACTGAAAAACAAAGTTTCAGGGGTATGTGGATATAATTCCTGGCCCTAAATGGAAACAGGACCGTATGACAGACTGTGACAGCGAGAGCTTCAGGAGACCTCAGCAATCAGCAGGCAGCTCCCCTCCAGGACTCGGGCAGAGGGTGCGTGCACCCCGGGAGGCCCAAGGGCAGCGACGCACCTGCTGCCATCACTCCTGGGTACAATTCCGCTCTCCAGTGACAGTTCTGAAGTTAAAGGACAAAGGCCCGTTGGCTTCTACGACAACTTGACGGGCAGACCCGCTGACATCACTGCATGGATTTCCAGGCCTGCTGGCAACCTCAGCCGACTCCTTTCTATTTGTTACTGAAAATGCTCCGGTGTCAAATCACGCTTTCGCTTTCGCTAAGTCCGCCCAGTTACAGAGAAGAAGCCTGTGAGACCTGAGCTCAGTGCTAAGTTACCAGCAGGGAGCCGACGGCCACGTGTGGCTGCTCGTGTGAACTGATTAAAGTTAGAGAAATGTCAGACGTTGGTTCCTCGTGGCACTTGGCACGCCCCAGGCGCTCAGCAGCACACGTGGCCTGCGGCTCCCACCCTGGGCGGCCCAGAAGCGGGACAATCCGTCATCCCGGGAGATTCCACGGACAGTGCTGTTTCGGGCAGAAGTACACTCACACCACTCCAAGGATTTCTGCTTCTGCACAAAATCCCAGTGGGGATTCCCCTAAAGATCTGTTTCACAGACTTTCCTGTTCACGTTTCAAACGGCACCAATACAGAACGGCCTAGTAATTACGACCTGTGACCACAGCGATCGCTACATTTGTGATTCCACAACCACGAACACCTCTTATAAAACGTCTAGATGGCAAGCGTTCCCCTCTGCACGTGACCTGGAGGCACCTCACCTCTTGGGAGGTGCGGTCCTTACCTGAAGGTCACGGGAGAGATCCTCCCCATGAGGGCGTAGGCTGTGACGCTCTGCAGGTGGAAGAGGACGCCGTCCGCCAGCAGCAGAAGCAGCACGTCCTGGCTGTAGCGGAAGCTCCTCGCGTTCCTCCCGATCACCGGCAAGTCCTGCGCCAGAGCCAGAGGGACGCCCGCGGTGCTGACACCCAGACCCCAGCCCAGGGGCCAGCGCAACGCTGGAGCCCGGCCGTAGGACAGGACAGCCCAGTTCCACGTGTGTTAAAAAGAGAGGTGTGCATAGACGCGCACCTGTGCTTCTGTAGGACTGACGGGATCCCACGACACGCGTGAGCACAGGAGCGTGTTTGTGCCCACGCAGACACGTCTGGGAAGCAGCTCCACCAGGAGCGGGCCTGGGAGGGGCTGGGGGACATACTGCTCTCTGTTTCATAAGCTTCTGCCCTGGGACTTGTTCAACAGTGGTCACAATGTTTTTAAATAACAGTAGTAATAAAAAACAAGTGCAGGGGGACTTCCCTGGTGGCGCAGTGGTTAAGAATCCGCCTGCCAATGCAGGGGACACGGGTTCGAGCCCTGGTCCGGGAAGATCCCACATGCCGCAGGGCAACTAAGTCCGTGTGCCACAACTACTGAGCCTGTGCTCTAGAGCCCGCAAGCCACAACTACTGAGCCCACGTGCCGCAACTACTGAAGCCCACGCGCCTAGAGCCTGTCCTCCGCAACAAGAGAAGCCACTGCAATGAGAAGCCCACGCACCACAACGAAGAGTGGCCCCTGCTCGCCACAACTAGAGAAAGCCCGCGTGCAGCAACGAAGACCCAACACAGCCAAAAATAAATAAACAAATAAATTTAAAAAAAAACAAGTGCAGGAATTCACTGGCGGTCCAGTGGTTAAAACTCAGTGCTTTCACTGCCGTGGCCCGGGGGCAATCCCTGGTCGGGGAACTAACATCCCACAAGCCCTGAGGTGCAGCCAAAAAACAACAACAAAAAAGTGCACCTAAAAACGCTCACAGCAAAGTTTCCGGGACCCGCTGGCTGAGGTTTGGCCCCTGTGGGCACCGGACCCATACAGGACCCACACGGGTTTGCTTCGCTCGGTCCCCCCCACCCCCCTGGGCGCGTGGCGGCCTCTGTATTCAGCACGCCCGGCGCCCGGGGCTCGCCCTGACCTGGGAAGGCACCAGGGCTGGACTCACCATGAAGAAGATCCAGGCCGGGACGAGCATGGCCACGGCTGCTGCACTGGTGTAGAACTGCAGCTCCGCGGCCCTGCGGGGACAGGCGCCTGATCCTCTCCCCGCCTCACCCCGCCCTCGCCCTCCGCGGAACCAGGGTGCCCCAGTTAATCTATCTCCTCCCAGATGATAACGGACGGCCGGGCCTGACAGGCGACCCACCGGCCACGGGACAGTGACAGGCAGCCTCAAACGAGCCGGCCAAGGGGCAGTTGGAAACAGGTGGGGTTTTCTCCCAAGTTTCAACAAGGTTCTTTTAAAGGCACCATGAAATGGGAGGGGTCAGGGCACAGGGTGGTCTGGTCTCCATGGAGCAGTGACACTTACGAGAACCTATATTTGTCCCCGCTGAGGAGCTTTTTGGAGAAAACGTTCTGCAAACTAGAATAAAGAAAAGAAGAGGTTACGAGAGGTCAGATGGTACCTCACACGGCCGAAGCGCCCTGTCCTCCAGAAACAGGGACACACGGCAGCTCCTTGGGGATGGCCCTGGCGTCTGCTGTGAGCCGGGCTGAGCTGCCCCTTTCACAGATGGGTAACCTGAGGCCTCAGAGGCTGAGGACATGCCTGAGGTTACCCAGCTCTGCTCGGCAGCGGCCACGGAACAGACAGTGTGAGCACAGGAAGACCCTGGGAAAAAAACAGAGACAAAACTGCTGGCCGGGAAGGCCCGCCGTGGCCAATGGGAAGACCAGACAGCGTCCAGCTTCCCTGGAGCCAGAGGGCTCAGCATTCTGAAGAACGACGCTGCTCCCTGGACGCTGGGTGCACAGCAGCTCTGGCCAAGGGGGCTTAAACCAGAGCAACGAGCCTGCTGCACAGGTTTACAGGCCCTGTCCCCCTCCTGGGGGTTTACGCTGCAGGCCCGTCAGAAACCTAGAGGGAAACCCGTGTGAAGATGTTTCCTGCAGATCTAAGTCACGAGGTCTGCAGCGTCTGCAGGTGAGCGAGGAGGCTTCTGGAGACCATCCTGTGCTCGGAGTTAACAGGCGATATGCAAACTACGACGTGAGCTGGACTGTGTTTCTGGGAAAGGCTGAAGGAAACACAGCAAAGTGTGAGAAATGAAATGAAAGGTGATTTTTCATTTTTCAGCTGTATTATTCAAATTCAAACCCTCCAGATGGGCCTGTTTCTCTTTGGAAGTAATGGCAAGAAGAAACCCTTGGATACCGTGTTGCTGCTGTTTCCTCTCTTTTCTCAGAAGTGGTGACGCTGAGAGAGCAGGCTGTGCAGAGGTGTCAGCAAGACGGCTCAGCCGCCACTGGGGTGTGACATCTATCCCCCGTCCTGCGGGACACGGAACCCCACGCGGCACGGGACTCACCAGTCCATGATGTTGGTGGACAAGGCGGCCGAAAACCCCAGGAAGTTGAAGCTCATCTCGGTGGCCGTGCACAGCGCCAGGCCGCCCATGACAGGGATGAGCGAGAGGTTGACCAGCAGCCCTGCGGAGCGACAGCACAGAGGGGCCGGGCTGCAGCGCCCCCCAGCGGGCCGGGCTACCCCCCACCCCGCCCCAGGAGTGCTCTGCACGCTCACTTTGTTTGATTCTTCTCGCTGGACGGAAAATATAGCACATGCCTCCTGTCACCCGCTCCAGAGCCAGGTGCCAGGGGCACGGCAGCCAGAGCCACCAGCTCCAAGCCCTGCTCCCTGCACCCCACCCCCCGACCCCGAACCCTCATCTGCAAAACGAGTCGGGTGAAGGGTGGTCTCCAGGGAAGGCTGGGAGAGGAGGGAGGCCCCAGACCCTCAGAGTGTCCAGCGCTCCTGCCTTCGTTCTGAAATCTAACCAACAGCCTTGATGTGAAGGTAAGGCTAAGACCATTCGGTGCAACAGAAAATCACGTCACTCTGCACACAGGGCATCCAGCTTCACGTGGTACCGCTGCTTTGATTTCAGACAGCATTTCATTTATCTTGAAATTCAAAGCAGATGAGGGGACTAGCCTCTCGTGTTCAGCAAAAAGGAGCAGAGATGCAGCCCTCAGATGACCGTAGCCCCCACCCCCGCCGAGGACAGCGCTGTCCACACAGCAAACCCACAGGCCCACGTGGCCTGAGGCTGAGAGCATCACCACAGAAGGAGGCCTCTGCTGGATGGCGGACCTCACGCAGGGGCCATGGCTGGGAGGCCGTCCAGGGGGCAGGCGCCTTCGTGGACTCGGGGCTCTGCCGGGGCTGACCCACAGGGCGTCACTCCTCTGGGGACCCCAAACCTTGGGGTCCCTCAAGTCCTGGCACCTTCATCATTCTCCAACGCCTCCCCAACAGACTTTTTTTTGCTAAATTTTATCAAGATTTCCTAATTGTTCTCAGCAAGACAGCTGGTTTTCTACACACGTACCCACCGCAGCTGGAGCCCAAAGTGTGATGCTTTTAAGGCCCTTGAGATAAATCCTTTCTGCACGGTGAAGCTTGACGTGCGGTCAGGCTGTTTCCTGCCGAGTACGATTTTAGGAATCGCTTTTACACTTTGATCTGATGCTGTTTTACCATCACCTAAGCGTTTGTGCGGCTTCAAGGGCACGTCTGCGAGAAGCCTGGCTGCGCCCCGTCCGTCCCCATCCTCCTCTCTCCTTGAGGCAGGTGCCGCCTTGTTTTACCTTTTTGTCATTTTGCCAGTTGAAGCAAGCACGTGTCTCCCTCTGTGAGCGCCCCCCACCCCCGGGGTCAAACACGACGTGTCACGTCCACGAGTCTGCACTCTGCTTGTCTTCACGGAACCGCACTCTCTAAACGGTTGGCGGGAAAGCCCGGGACGTGTGCAGCTGGCAGCGCGTGCCCGCAGCCCAGGTTGGAAATTTGTAACAAGTCCCGTCTGCTGAGCTCTGGGGAGCCACAGTGGAGGGCAGGAGGGGGTGCGGAGGAGGGGCCGGGGCGCCTGGCAGATTCCTGGGACAGAAATGGCACCGAGGTTACCTGCCTGTCACTCCTTCACCCAGCTCCTACCATGCCGGGCCTCTGAGGCTAAGAAACGACAAGGAGGGAAGTGGAGGGAGCTGAGCTCCAGGGTGACGTGGGTGGGAGCGGCCCCCGGAGGAGCTGGCGCGCCCGGGCGTTGGAGGCTGCTCACCGGTGTGCTCCCCCAGGACGGTCCGGGACAGGATCACAGTGAAGATGGGGGCCGAGCTCTTCACCGTCTCAGCAAAGGACACCGCCACATTTTTCAGGCTGACCAGACCCAAAACCACTGTTGCAAACCTAAGAGTCAACAGCGCCACAGGGATGAGTTGGTGCCTCTGCAGCCACGGGGCAGACCTGGTAGGAGCCCAGAGGGTGTGCGCGTCTGCCCCGCCCCCGCCCGGCCCCCTCCCTCCCAGGATCACCTGATGGTAGCAGTCAGCCAGGGGGAAGTGTTTTACGTGTAAAAAACTCAGTCCCTCAACCAGGAACGTTAGCTGCTTACCTCATGAGACCCACGAACAACATGGTCATGATGAAGTTGGGAGGGTAAGAAAGCCGGGTTTTGTGCTGATACAAACAGCAGGGAACAAATATTTTAACACAGCCGATGAGTGTGGTTGACAGCATCTGCACGGCCCCTGCAGGAGGAGACGGGGGGCGCCAGCTGAGCAGAGGGGCTCCGCCCCGCCAGGAGCTCCATCCCGCCGCCAGCGCCCGGTGGGGTACCTAGCATGCTGGGCTCCCCTTCCAGCAGGGACAGGATGTACTTGTTGAGAAACAGGGTGCAGAAGCTGAAGAAGAACCAGAGTGTGAGGTAGATGAGGGCGCGGGCACCCCACACGCCCAGGTCCGCCTCGATGACGGTCGTCTCGGTGACGGTGACCGTGAGCACCTGCTCGTCGGGGCCACCTTCGCTCTGGCCAAATGCGATCTTCTCACTCCGGTGGCCAAACACGGGGCCCCAGGCCAGGAGCGGCCGTCCCCCCGGCTTCTCACTGGGGCCCGGAGCCAGCTCTGCCAGGGCCGCGGGCTTAGCGGATGCCGACATCTCAGGGGTGGCGGGCAGCGCAGGGCAGGGACGCGGGGACGGAGGCAGCGGCCATGCAGGTGGCACTGGGCGGGGCGCGGGCTGGAGTGGGAAGGAAAGGACGGCGTTGCGTGAGCGGCTAAGGTCCTGCCGAGTTTAATCACCCACTTAGAGTAATTTCAAGACGCAAACTCGGGGTCCTGGCCTTGTTTCCAGCCCCAAAGGAGCGGGCGCCCCGACAGCTCGGACTTGTCTTCCAATAAGTTTCTGAGACCAAAGCCTTTACCGGCCTCCGTTCCCTCCCCACACACCTGACCCTCCAGCCGATCCCGCCGGAACTCCTTCTACAGTACCTGCCAACCCCTGCCTCTTCCAGCCCCGCCCCACCCCCAGGGCACCCCGCACCCCCCAAGCACCGGCCCAGCCTCGAGCTCATCCTCCAGGCTGCCCTCCCACAGCTCGGCTGAGGCCTGGGCTCTCCGCCCCCACCCCGGAAGCTGTCACAAGTGCTCTGCACCTTCCCACCCACCCTGGGACCAACCAGAGCCGCTGAGGAAGGGGCCCCCTCGCCCGGAGCTCTTCCCACCAGGCTGGCTCTCCCACGCCCTCACCCAACTTCTTAATATTTCATCCAGTGTTCTGAGTTGTCCTTTGTGGGAGGGTTGACCTGCCCCGTCAGAGACTCTGAGTTTCTGTCCCTCCATCGGGTTTTGAGTTCCAACCCCTGCGTTCTTCGAGTTCTATTTGTTACCGTTTCAAACTGGCCTGTTTCTCTCAACTTTCGATCCCTTCTTTGCATCCTCTCTTTCACGGTCCAACAGTTCATCACCCAAGCCCTGACAGTATGACCCTCAGCCTCTCAGCGGGTCAGCGGCCCGCTGGCTCGAGGGGGCTGTTTGCGTGCACAGATCCTCGGCCAGGGGACCTCCTCCTGGGCTTGAGGGCGGGCGGGCCTTGGAGCGGGCATGGGCACTGCCTCTGCAGGTGCCCAGGAGAGGGTGATCCTCCCTCAACAGACCCACACCTGCTTGGCGCTCAGGCTTGTGGCCACGACTTCTCAAGAGAGACCCCCTCAGATCACAGGCGAAGTCCGACCCGGTCTCTCCCGCTTGCTGGTGGGTGAACGCTTCAAGTTCCGGCCCTTCTTTTTCTTAATTTATGTTTTTGGCCACGCCACGCAGCTTGTGGGATCTTAGTTCCCCGACCAGGGATTGAATGCGTGCCCTTGGTGGTGAAAGCGCTGAGTCCTAACCACTGGACCGCCAGGGAAATCCCAGTTCTGGCTTTAAGCAGCATCCCAGTGACGACCACCTGCCCAGCTCAGGAGCCCTGGCCACTCCTCCTCAGTGACACCAAACCGCAGTTCCCAGCCCCCTGCCCCCACCTCTAGGCAGCCAAGCTGGCTGCCTATGTCCTCGTCCCTCCGACGCTGACATTCGGGGGGCGCCCGTTGTGCTTTAACCTAACTTCCAGGCATGCGTGACCCAGACAGACTTGTGACTCCCTGACCCCACCTGAAGCCAGGCTCCTGGCTGAGCAGCCCCCCAGCTCCCCGTGTCCACCCAGTGCTCTCGGTCACCCCACAAGCTCAGCAGCACCAGGTCCCGGTGGGCACCCAGGCCTGACATGCACCCCGACCCTCGGGACACCAGGGCAGCTCCCCAAACGCACCCCAGACCACGATGAATGCACGAGGGCCTCCCGTGGGCCCCCACTGCCCCCGCGAGACACACGAGCCCTTCGAGCCCTCTGGGCGCTGACGGGGCCAGATCTCCGCTAACGCCCCGTCCTCCTTCCTCTTCCCAGCCCGGTCCCGCCGTCCTCTCTGGGCCACACCCTGCTGGGAGCTGCACCTCCGTGGGCTGGACCGGCTGTGGCCCAGCGGGGGTATGGGGAGCCCGTGCTGACCCCCAGCTGGGAACAGGGGCCCAGCTGCGGGTGGACGGAAAACACAGGAACAAAGCCCGTGTATGGCTCGGGATCCCCGAGAGCAGAGAGATGGCGCCCCACCCCCGGGCCCCTGGCTGACCCCGTCTGGATGCCCAGCCCTGCAGCCGGGCCCCCCCAGGGCACAGCTCCCACTGGCCGCGGGGGCTCTGCCTCTCAAGGGAGCCCCTGTCAGGCCCACCGACGGCGCCAAGCCCCTCTCTTCAGGGCCCCAGACCCGGTGTTTGTCACACAAGCCCCGACGCCACCGCTGAGGCCCCAAAAGCAAACCTGTTGGCGAGGTGACGCTCCAGAAGCCCCCGGGGAGGGCCCCATCGCCCTTCCTCTCGCTCGTCACAAAACGAGGCTGGAGGCAAGGTGCAGGCGCTTCCCCCGACGCTCTCCACTCGGTTTCCGTCTGGGAAACTCACAGCTTCCCAGGCAGCACCGCCAGCCGGGCCTCCGCCTCCTTCTCTGCAGCTCAAGGAGCTCTGGCCCGACGCCAGAGCTCCGCTGCTGAGCCCCGAGGCCCTGGGGCGCCCGCTCGCCCGCTCTCCTTCCTCAACAAGAAGCTGCTTTGAAACAAAGACGGGTCCGTGCAGTTCCACAGCTGCCGCTCACCTGGTGACGGTGTGGTATTTCACTGGATGAACAAGCCACAAGGGACTCATCCCCACTGCTGACCACACCGGGCCCCAGACTGTCCACCACGTCCGTCCTGTGCAGGTCGTTCCTTGTGTTTCTGCTGGGTCTGCGCCCACGGGGCACCCACGACCCCCGAGGTCATCGTGCTGGGCTGTACCCTTACCCGCCCTGGAGGTTCTGCTCCATCTGCCCCGAGGGTGGAGGGTGTTGGCGGCCTCTGAAGAAGCAGAATCCATCACACACACACACCCGCCCACCCAGCACACGAGGCTCCAGTGCCTCCCGACTGTCCCAGGCTGAAAGCAGGTGGCAGCACAGACGCAAACAGATTCAGACCGAAACGGTGGGGATGGGACCTTTCAGGAGTCACCGCAAGTGACAGGGAACGTAAGAAAGAGTCAGCAGAGCCCGTGGCCGGGATGGCACGGGGACAGAGCATCCGTCAGATGGGGTCAACACGGCACTTTTTTGCCAGCAGCAAAACAAAAGCCAAACAGAACCTAGGCGCCTGTCGACAGGGACGCATGTGGCAGCGGGTGGGGATGGACGCCCACAGCGGGCAGAGGGAAGCCGCACACGGGCGATGGGTGATGGGCAAACCTTACAGCCGTCGGCAATGCTGAGGCCGAGTCGCGGAAGGAGACACACGACACAGCGCCACCAGTGCACTCAAGTGTGTCCAGACACAACATGTCATTAGAAATAAAAGCACAGAAAGTGCTGTTAAGAGCAAAGAACTGGGAACTCAAGCTGGGGGTGGGGTGGGTCTGGGTTGGGCCGCAAGGACAGGGGACGCAAGCGGGCAAGCATGGCGGGCGTCGCGCTGTTTTCTAGGCCGTTCCGAAAGCTGAGGATTTATACATGAAAAAGAGCCAGGCAGCACCTGGGGAGACAGATGCCTGTTCAGACCAGAGCCTCCCGGACCGTCTGCCCTTGGTGACCTGGTCTCAGGTGGCACCAGGAGCTTTCTGTGTCCTGCTGCAGGTTCCGGACTGGAAGGCAGCAGGCGCTCCATCACAGACCAGCACTGCTGTCCACTGCGTCCAGAGCAGGGCCCAGGGAGCCCAGGACGGATGCTCAGGCTCCCTCCAGCGCGTGACCTCTTCCTGACCATCGACAGCCCACAAGCAGCCCACCCAGCCTGGTGACCGAGGACGCGACAGCCAAGGGACAGGCAGACCCCCCCCGCTTTCGCGTGCAGCAGGAGGGGTCGGCAGCCTCCGTGTGTGTAGTTTCCGGAAGGAGTCCAAATGCCTCTGGAGTCAGAACAAGGGCTTTGAATGTCTTAAAAAGTGAAATCACGGGACTTCCCTGGCGGCCCACTGGTTGGGACTCTGCGCTCTCACCGCAGTGGCCCGGGGTGCAATCCCTGGTCGGGGAACTAAGATCCCGGAAGCCGCGTGGCCCAGCCCCCAAACAAACAAACAGATGAAATCAACTTGGGAATGGACGGTCCTGTCTTGCTCCTTCTCGACAAGACTCCCCAAGTCACACCAGGGTTCCTAGTTGTTTGCTTGCTTTTGCTTCGTCAGGCGATGGGGGTCTGAGGCCTGGAGGGCTCCTCCAGCGGCTCCGGGGGTGGGGCCGGGGGGCTGGAATAAGGAGGGGCCACTACAGAGAAGCGGCGGAGACCAGGCAGTGAACGAGGCCCCTGGGCTGTGATGGAGGCCGAGGTGGCAGGGAAAGCAGAGACCAGGGCGGGTGGCCCTCCAGGCCGGATGCCAGAAGACCCTTCTCTGGGGAATTCAACAGGCACGGGACAGACCTTGAGGACAGAAATCAGGGCCCCAAGGAGAGGCCTTGACGGAGAAAGCAGCTGAGCAGCCCGAGCTTCTGGTCACCCTTCAGTGGCCTGGGAGCTGAGCCAAGGCAGGAGACGGGGCAGGGGGAGCCGAGTGCCCACCGGCAAGCAGGACGTGCTGCTTTGAAAGTCACCAGAACAGGGTCCCTGGGGATCAAGACCAGGGTGGCAGAAGTGGAAATCTCACCAGGGGCCCCGGGCTCCCAAGAAGATCCGACTCAGGACAGGACTTGACGTGGAGGCTCCGAAGGCCCCCAGAAGCACACGGGGAGCTCGAGGTGGCGGGCATCAAGGATGCAGCCACCAACGTGACCGGGGGTCCTGCTTCTGGACACAGCCCACAAGGGCCAAAGCGGCCCCATCCACAGCCCAGCCACCAGAAGGAGAGGCAAGGCGCCTGGGGAAAAGCTTCCACGACTCAGCCTGAGGACAGGTGAGGATCAAAGATCAGAGACCACCTGGCCCGCAGGCTGCCAGTGGGGGAGAAACCGCCTCCTGGCTGCTCCAGGAGGGACAGATGGACAGGATGCAGTCGTGCAGACAAACAGACGAAGAAACTGTCAGGAATAAATCAGCGGGATGAAAACATGGCAAGACTAGAGAGGAAACGTCCCACTGCTGAATGAAACTACGGTGTCCTCCGACTATTTCCCTGCGAGGTGTTAACTGGTGACCAGGGTCAATCACAACTTTACCCCCCGGAGAAACGAGCGGATGCCCCTCCATGGAGCCACCAAAGTGGGAACCACCAGGAACGAGACAGACACCATGTCTCCCTGACCTGAGGCGCTGAACCCGGCACCGCTGCAGTTTCCCTGCCACAGGTGCAGATCTGACGGTGAGAAAACGCAGGCGTCGAAAGCCGAGGAGAGGAGGATGGACGGCAGAGGACACCAGGCCAGGGGCTGCAGACCATTACAGCATCCACAACGCGCAGATCCTGCCAACGCCACGCACCTTTTCAACATTCACGCCCTCTGGAACCAAAAATGATCAAATCAATGACATCTCTAAAACCAAAAATCTCTAACGTGCAATACAGACAGAACTACCCGAACCAAACCACCACTCGGGTGAACAACGTCATCCCACTGAAGAGCGAAGGGCAGGAAGCCGGCCAGTAACTGCGCCAGCGGCGCGGAGAACACGCGCAGGCTCCAGACGACACCCCAGGCAGGCGAGGTGCGGCAGACAAGGGTGTGCGCTGCGGGGAAGGAGGGGTGGCCGCAGGACGCCTGTGCAGGCCGCTGCCCCCCCGCCCCCGGGAGGCCTGGAGGCAAGGACGCCCCCAGCAGCACAGCCGGCTCCTAAGCCCCATTCTCTGCTGGGCTGAACCAGCCTCCTTGGAGGAACGGCTGATGCCAGGGCTGGGGCAGGAACTGGGTCAGAAGGAGAGAGAGGGTGGGGACTTATGAGAAGGACACAGGGGCCAGCGTGAGGGATGCAGTTTGAGAGAGAAAGTAAATAATAGCAAAGGGTTAGAAGCCACACATCCACCACGATCACTAAACGGGGAAAGGAGAAAGCACTTCCTTCTGTTACAAAGTCAGATGACTGATGCAATTAGAAAATCTCCGTTTGGCGACCATGCCCATGATCACACTAACAATCGACTCGGGCTGGGTGAAAATTTAGAAATAACAGAATATTTAGTCTCAAAGTGTATCCCTACAAGGTACGTGTTAGTAACAAAGGGCACTCGATGGAGGTCCAAAGGGGAGAAGACAGGAAACTTCCTTGAAGAAGGAGGAGAAGGGGGAGGCGCCTATCCAGATAGGAGGATTCCAGGTCACGTGCTGTATCGGCGCAGAAACAAGTAAACAAATTGGAACGGAGGCCCAGAGACTCCGCACAAGCAGAATTCTGGTCCAAGACAGAGTGGGGCTGTGGCTCGTTGGAGAAGGGAGGCCACTGTCGCTGATGCTAGGATGGCCGTTATCCACACCAGAGAAAACAAACTGGACCCTGATCTCACAATTCTAGACAAATAACAATTAGCAACACCCACAGAGCACTTCCTAGGAAGCAGGTAGGGTCTGACCGAGCATCTCACACATATTAACTCAATGAATCTTCACAACAACCCTTGCGGAGGGACGCTGTCACCCGTGTGAGACACATGAAGTGGGGAAACGGCCTCTGGCCACAGTTCAGGGCTTGAACCTGCGCAGCCTGTCTGTGAAATGCAGCTGTGTAAACCCTTACGTTTAGAGGAGAATGTAAGAGAATATATTCCTGATTCTGGTATAGGAAAAGAGTGTCTTTTTTTTTCTGCCCGCACCACACAGCTTGCAGGATCTCAGTTCCCCGACCAGGGATTGAACCCGGGCCCAGCAGTGAAAGCGCTGAGTCCTGACCACTGGACCAGCAGCGAACTCCTGAAAACGAATATCTTAAACCAATGCCCATAAAGGAAAATATAAATAAAACAGACTGTGTTGGCTAAACTAAGAGCTTCTGTGCCATCGAAACGCACTATAACGTCTTGTAACACGAACACACTAAATGACAAAGCGACAACCTGGAGGAGGCAGTTAGGACGTGACAAAGGAGAGGGAACGGATTCCTACAACTTAATAGGAAATGTGGGCAAAAGCACCAGCGCAGGAGAGCGTTTCCAAACGGCCGATAAGCACGAGAGAGGATGCTTATCAGCCCTCCAGCGCCGTGTAACGCGGCACCGCACACCCGGCGGCACAGAGCAATGACACACCTACGACCCCGCAAGCTTCTCTGGTCGGGACTCTGGCAGCAGCTGTGCTGGGCAGTTGGCCGTCACGATGGCAGGAGGGGCCGAGGCCTCACCCGAAGGCCGGGGCGCCTGCTCCCAAGCCCACACGCGCAACCCCCGGCCAGCTGTTGGGGGAAGACCCCTCCGCGGGGCCGCCCACAGCCGGCACCTGGCCTGCATTGGAACGGCTGAGAGAAAGCACCCGAGGAGGCCCGAGTCTTTTTGTAACCTCGTCCCCTTCTCGTTTGCTGGTTTGCTGTTCGGAGCTCATTAGAAGGCCGGCCTCGAGGGGAGGGGCTACAGAAGGCGAGAATGCGGGGAGGGAGGCAAGGTCACGTCCCACCACGGGGGTCGACCTCACCAGCGGTCAGGCAGCTGGACACACCACCCACCCCCACTGCCAAAAACCATCAGGTCTGACAACACCCAGAGCTGCTGGAAGGTGTGGATCCAGAGGCCCCCAGACACGGCTACGGGGCGCCTGGTACGAGCACTTGCGGAAATGGCGTGGCAGCCTCTTGAGAGCTACGCGCCTGCGCACCCTACACATCAGCACTTCCACTCTCGAGGTTCCCCCAGGGAAGTCCTGCGAGAGCGTCCAGAGCGGGAGTGCCCGTCATGACGGCTGGGAAGTGCGACCGGCCACCCATCGGAGAATGAACGTGTGCTGTAGACTTGGCCCAGGAGTGAGGACGAGAAACGTCCTGCAATAGCCACGGCTGACGGCCGGCCAGGCCCTCTCTGCCCGGATGGTGGGCGGGCACGTGACCGCAGCACTTACCACTGGTTACCGGCCGCAGCGCCGATCCTGAGCAGAAGGCCCGCTCCTGGCTGCGGCGAAGCCCCGCGCGGCTGTGCTGGGCATCGCGCATGGAGGCCGGCAGCGGCCAGGTGTCAGCGGCCCAGAGCCCAGCAGGTGTGGCTCAGCCAGCCCAGCGGAGACCCCAGCTGCCCTCCCCAGCTCCGGCTCGTGTTTCCACCGCCCGTTCTTCTTTCTCAGCCCCCGTGACTCCAGGTGCCTCCACGAGAAGCAATTCTCATCCTGCGAAAGACCGAAGGTCAGCGGCCCCAATCTGACAACGAAAAACTGACCCCACCTTCCAGGTCGGCCTGGAAACAGGGCGGACAGGGCTGAACGCAGGGCTCGTGGGGCACTGCTCCCCGCCCAGGCCCTTGGTGACAAAGGTCTGAATTATTGCCCTCTCAGATTATAGCACAAATAACAAGAACCGAAACGTAGCCTTTTCCACCCAGCACGGAGTAGGTGGCTCACGAGGCCAGGGTTGACTCTTAACTTTACTCCTGCCTAGAGCTGTCTTCAGAAGAGGGTGCACACGTGGGACTGAAAGGAAACCAGGTCAGCGACACGTAGTGAGAAGCACACCTGTGACACTTCCGTCACGTGCAGGCGCTGAGCCCCCTCTCCCACGGCCTGAACGGCCCAGCCTCCGCCAGCCCTGCAGCGCGGGCTCACGACCCACGGGGAGGGTGCCTGGTTCTGAAACGGGGTGGGGGGCAGGACCACCACGGCACATTCTCCACCGAAGGGAAGTTTGCGTGGAGGTTAGCGAAAATGAAGATGTCAACTTTCCCATCCAGTTCCGTAGACCCTTAAATTCTAGGGCCTGTCAGCCTGGGGTCAAGAGTCCCTGTTCTCCAACAAACAACTCAAGATGTTCTCAAATGCCTGGTGAGGAAATCTAGGTTGGTTCAAATTGTCAGCAGGGCAGTTTAGACAAAATATACTTAAAGTCTACAAATTTTATACACTAATTCAGAAATTCCACCTCCAGGGATTTATCCTAAAGAAATAATCCAACAAAGGCCCAAGATTGTACATACAAGGATGTTAAAAAGCTTTGTTTTTAAGACTAAGAAGCTGACACTAGCCAAGTGTCAGATAAGAAATTTGTAACAAACCCTGTCACATAATGGGACACTGTAGCCCTGCAAGTTTTGACAAAAATAGATTTGTCATAGATTAAGTGAGAGCAGAGTTACAAGCCCTCTGCACAGTATGTTCCCGTTTAAAAAGTACAAATGGTTCAGAAGCACACAGGCGAAGTTACCAACTGTGGCCAGCTCTGGGAGCAGAATCTCAGGTCCTTCACATTTCGTTTGCGTTTGGGCTCCTCTTCATTTTCTAATTTATGTGCACTGAACATGGATTTCTTAACAACAAGGACCTGTATATAGCACAGGGAACTACAATCAATATCTTGTAATAACCTGTAATGGAATGGAAAAGAATCTGAAAAAGAATGTGTGTGTATAACTGAATCACTGCTGTACACCAGAAACTAACACAACATTGTAAATCAACTGTACTTCAATTTAAAAAAAAACTTTAAAAAGAAAATGGACTTCTGTAATGTAAAAACTTTCCTATTCCCTCCCTTAATGTTCCTTTTCATGCTGTTTAATATTGTTTTATTCTGCTTTACAATGTTACTTACAAGTTTAAAGATTTTTGGTAAAGTACATTGCACTCTACTAAAAAACAAAGAACTTTAAGCCACTAAACAAAGAGTCTGCCTCTAAATAGCTTTTTTTTTTCTCTCTCTCTTTTTTATACAGCAGCAGTAGGTGAGCAAGGTCCTCAAGGCTTCAGAAGATGAGCTTGGGGCGGTGGGGCGGGGGCACTGCCTGGACCCCACAGGCCCCGTAAAACCCGCTACAGGAAAGTCACCTGAGGACTACAATGAAGTCTTAGCTCTGGGCCTGACTGGGAGTTTCCCACTCCAATTTACAAAGTAACAGTCCGCTAGGACCAGCGCCCGGCAGGATGTTAGTCATTATATAATTTCCAGTTTTCTAAAATCCTGCATAGAAAGACACCAACTGCAATGAATTTGCGGGCGATCGCGCCCTTTGGTTCCGGATCGGACGGAGCATCTTTACCCGGTTCTTTCGGAGGCGGTTGCACCTGCCGCTCGGAGGCCATGCCCCACTTCGGGGGGGCATCGGCGGGAGGGGGGGCTAAAACGCAAGGACACCCGACCCTGTGCCCCCCCCATCCCGCCTCTGACAGCCCACCCCCACGA